TCCTCTGCGGTATTGCAGTGTGCTGTAGTTGAGGAAGCTGACTTTTGCCAGTAGTGTGAAGCCTTTTCATGGGGGCAGGTGAAAACTAACAGACTTGAGAGCCACTTTGCTATGCTACCACTTTAATTCCAGCTACCCCTTTAATAATATTTAAAACTCACCAGCTTAAAATGTTGGCACTCCTTGGCATCTTGCGTAGGGTTAAGCATTAGGGTTGAAGCGATTTTTTGGTGATGGAAGGTTATTTATCATCAGATGTCCTCTTAAAATTATTTTTAACTGCTTAAGCAGTTATTTTGAATTATAGGAGACATTCTTGAGGGGTGAGTTAGTGGGGAGAGGTGACGTGAGGTGAATCAGGAGTTCACGATGCAGGGCAGCACTTACTGTGTGTTAAGGAGATTGCTTCTTGTTTTTGAAGCAGAGACCAGTGTTCCTCATTCTTAATCATAGGTGAATGTAACGACACTATCTCCAGTATATTGCTTAATTCAACTGTTTGTGTGGACAAAATGTGAATTATTACATCTGTGTATAAACATTAACTACAGTAAGTAAAAAGTGGGTTGATCTTCCCTGTAGTATCTATAAAACATGCCTTTATATGGCCGAGCCGCGCTGAAACAATGATTCAGCATTTCAGTTCACGCTCAGTTTCTCTGAACACTCACTGAACAGCGCAGGATTATCAAATCAGGTCAGAACTGTTGAGTAGCACTTGTTGATCAGAAAAAAATGAAAGCATTTAGCAATAAATTATTAACGATTTAAGCAGTCGTCAGGCAGCCAGAGGTTAAGCAAAGTAGAGCTGTAAGCAAAGGCTCCAGTGCGGCTGGAGCTGGGAGGCCGCACATTGCCATCTACGGGCCATATGCAGAAAGTGGCCGGGAGGTGTGCTGAGCATTATCTCTTGTGCCTGATATCCTACTGCAGAGTTTGGAAAACAAGAGCTGGGAGGAAGGTCCATGTAAGGTACCACAAAGGCCATTCATATTCCATTTTCTGTATTTAATAAAGGGAGCAATACTCAGCTTATCACAAAGCACTGCCTTTTTTTTTTTTTTTTTTTTTTTTTGACACAAAGTCCAATTGCCAATTAGTACTGTGAGTGGTTTTCTTTCAATTGACAAGATTCTTCTGCTTTCATCTGTTGTGAAACATGATCAGAAATTTACTGTCTTGCTAGCTAATGTATTAATGCAGGTGTTTGTCCTCTGCAGCTGTTCTGCCTTGTTCCGGCTTCACAAATGCATTTAATTGTGATGCTGATGGGAGGCTATATTTAATATTACTTACATTTCTGCAAAAGCACTGATATTTTTTTCTTGAATAGATATGGAGGGGATGGTTTTAAACTAGAAAAGGGGAAGTTTGGGTTAGATATTAGGATGAAATTCTTTACTCAGAGGGTGCTGAAGTGCTGCTACAGCTGCCCAGAAAAGCTGTGGTGTCCCATCCCTGGTAGCACTCAAGGCCGAGTTGGATGGAGCCCTGGGCAGGCTGAGCTGCTGGGTGACCGTCCTGCCAACAGCAGAGGGTTGGAACTGGATGGGCTTTATGGTCTCTTCTAACCCAAATCATTCTTTGATTCTATGGTTTTGACATAATTGATTCTTCAGGTGTATGTGAAAATTATGTTTGAGGCTTGAGCCATTGGAATACCAGCATGAGGGTTTTCTCTACTCTTATTGTGCACTAAAGCACACCAGAACAAGCACACATGTGAGCAATTGTCCACTGAAAGAAATTTATGTAGGATTGTTTGCATGGAAAAGTTACTTGAGCCAAGAAGTATTTTCACTTCGAACTCTGGCATGCAGTAAGAGGGGGACATAATTGTAACTAGCATGATACATAAACTCCTTATTTGCATAATTGTGTCTGGCAAGAAACAGTAAAATGTAAATGATTTTACTCTAGGGAATTGTTTTCCCAAGGTCTGCTGATGTGCTGCTGTGTCATTCTGAAAAACAAACAAACACAGAGGCCCCAGAAATGTACGCTGTGCACTGGTTCATATGTAAAACACGCAGAAGTCTTCTGGAGGAATGAGAAGATACGAGTATAAAAATGTTACTGATTCAAAGTTCCCAGTTTTCATTCTTCATGTTGACTAGATTTATAAAGATTTTAGATATGTAAAATTTCATGTCTGCAGATTTGTTTGTCATGGCTTGTATTGAAATTGGCAGTTTCATAAACAGCAGTTTCTTCAATTTCTATCCCACTTTCTTTCAATATTTTAGCTTTTCCTTGGACTCTGCTTAGTGCTGCAGCAGTGGTTTGTGTCTTCCTGCATCTTGCAGACTTCACCTCCAGATTTTTTTCTTCAGTTTCCAATCAAAATGAATTGTTTTTATTAAATTGCAAAGACTGAGGTGGCTGATCTGTGGGTTAAATGGGTGAATGTAGAAATTCAGTCAACTGCTTAAAACACTTAATATATTACTTGCCCGGTTATTATATGATACCACGTAAAGTCGCATCTTTATATCCATCATTAATGTACAGTTTTTTACAAAGAAATTCCTGTTTGCTTATTTGTTGCTTTGGAGTATCTGTTATGATGGGAATGAAGTGAAGAAGTAAAATCTGTTGCAGGCCTTTTTGTGAAGCTTGCAGCTGAATTGAATGTAATAGTATTTAATATTGTTTACAAATAGTAAAAAAAAATGCTAGTTACTTATTTCAAAGACAAACAAACAGAAACACTCAACACTTCTTCATCTGTAGTGATCTCTTGTTGGTTTGCTCTGAACTGACTGTTTCGATCTCAGCATTGTTTGTTTTTATGCATGTACCAAAAGGGGAGAAATAGGCACTACGGCCTCCTTTTAGTTTAGGCATTTTTCATGTGTGAAAGGGATTTCAGCTCTGTCATACTTTGCCTGACACCAAACAGATTATGTTGTATTTCCAGAAGCATTTAATCGTCACATGCATTCTGTTTGCACGTCAGTGAAGTCTTGGACTTGAGCACACCATTTCAAGGTGCCTTTTTTCACTTGTTGCATAATGGGGGAATTGCAGCTTTTGTTCTGACTATAGATGTGTTGTAATTACCTAAATTAATCAAAGGCATTCTCAGAAATATTATGTTTGAGCTATAGAAAATAATCAAGGAAATGCAAATTCACGTGTACCAGAATATAAATCTCAGTCTGCCATCCACTGCCCACTGGCTGTTTTAGCAATGCCATCCTAATTTCTTTTGGTTTGCCTGTTTGTTTCTCCACATCTGGCTTTTTATTGTCAGAGAATTGGTAAAACTTGATGTAGGTGATTTACTATAATTTGTTTTACCATATGTTATACAGTAGGAATGATGCATTATACTACAAATGATCATTTGTTATTATTCTTTTCCACTTACGATGTCGGTAATTTCCTTAATGGAGACCATTTTAACCCTCAGCTCAATCCTTATGCAAGAGTTAGATTGAATTTTGTTTGATTTCTGTATTCTGAGTATTCATTCAGTCTGTAAAGAATGAATAGCTCAATTTCTTAGTGCAGCCTGAAATTGCTTTTCATTATAACGGCTTTGAGAATCAATTGAAGTTGATTATTTAGATAAAATAGGGTTGAAAAGAGTTGTTCTGGGTTTCCACAGGTTTGTTTGTGGTCTCTTTATATTCTACTTTGATTACTTGAACAATTAGAAAAGTTACATAATGCAAATGTGCTTGCTGGAGAAGTTTGGGAACACATGAAGCTTCTGCAGGACATACTGAAAGAAAGTGGAATTCTGAGCCAAGAGGCAGGAGAGGTTTTGTGTCTGTCCCAAGTATTTTAAAAATAATTATCTGGTGCTTTATGGGCTGTGTAAGGCTATTGTTGAAATTTGTGATTGTACTCAGTAAATCAGTGCATGCTTTCAGGTAATCATTACAAAATTATGTTTTGCTCCAAAAGAAAATAAAAATTCAGAGGAGAAGCAAATTTTTCCCAAGACCCTGCACAGCAATGTTAAGATTAGACAGCTCATGTACATGAATTCATTTTGAAGAATGTTGGTCTACTGATGAATTTACTTTCAGAAGTTCACCCAGTTATATTTTGTGCTCATGATAACCACAGTTTCTAAGACCCTTTGCAAAGATGTCGATGTTCAGTCAACACAGAGCAATACTCCTGCATAATTCTCTCTCAAGACCGCTTTTCTGCTATGTTTTTTAGATCTCTCTGTGTGGTAGCTGTTAAAAAATGCTCACAAATACATATTTTGCTTTGTGTATGCAGAGCTTGAGCCTTCTTTCTGTCTAAACTACTGTATGTAGTTGTAAATGTTACATCGTGTTTGTCCATTTTCATCAGTGTCAGAGATATTTTTGTAGAATGCGCTATAAAAATGACTTTAAAGCATGCTGTGTTTTTTTTTCCTCCCAAGATTTTGGAGATTTCAAAAGGGTTGGATTATACGGTTTCTGTTTTATAGCGATTGAAGACTTTTTTTTTTAACAAGAAAGTCTTAAGAAAGTATAGCAAATGTAGTTCTATCCCTGTATAAAAACATAGTTTTGTCTTTTTTGTAAATATTCAGCATGTTCAGAAGCTAAGCTGTTCCTCTTCGTGTAGATTTCTTCTAGTAAAACATAGTAGCCGGTTTCTGGTTTCTACAGATACAGACAAGACTAATACTTTGGGTCTTTGTAAGGTTAAACTTGAAATTTCCTCTCTTATTGTAATGTGTCACTTCAGAAATTGTGACTGTGATGGTAAAAGTTCTTAAAATTGGAGGGCTCGTTTTTATAGATCTTGTTTTCTTTTGGTAAAACCTCTGTTATGCAGACAACGTCTGTTACTGATGTTTTAATGGATGTTTCTGTACGTTCTTGGAGTTCATCTTCAAGATACTCATATCTAGCTGTGAATATTTATATAATTTTATTGTATCATGGAAGTGTAATATAAGTGTGATATAAGGACATCACTGAATTTCAGTATTTGAATTCTAACATTGTGTCCTCTCTTTCCTTTCCCCTTTGTGTCTGTATTAGGGGTTGATATAGAGGCAGCTCGAAAAGAAGAGGAGCGAATCATGCTTAGAGATGCACGACAGTGGCTCAACAGTGGCCATATAAATGATGTCAGGCACGCGAAATCTGGTGGTACAGCACTTCATGTTGCTGCTGCTAAGGGCTATACAGAAGTCTTAAAGTAAGTATGATTTAAGTGGAAATTTTTGATTGTCTGGTTGAGATATTGCAGCTTGGATTTGGTACGGTAGGACATCTGTCTTCTGACGGTTGTAAATTTGGAAATTACAGTCTCTAGAACTGCCTTTTCCTTGAAGCTTGATTTAATGTTTTCAAGTACTCATAAATCTTGATGCTTGTAGTTTTCCAGATGTCATTCAAAATGTGAACTGAATGTACATGATGAGCCTTAGGACTCAGAAAAAGTCGACAAAAAATCTTTACCCGCTTCTAAAGCCAAATGTGTTAACAAGTTTAATATCTTTTTATAATGCCAGCTAGCATTCTAGTTAAAGAGTATTTTCAAGATGCCTGGGGTAATTTGCATACACAGAGCAGAATCCATGTTCTAGACTAGAGGCTTTCAGACTTAAAAAATAAAGCATTTAATTCTGCTGTTTTCAAGGTTGTTGAAGATCGTGACTCTTGAAGTCATTCATGGAAGTCTTCAGGCTTTTGGTGTCCCTCTGATTCACAGATAGCTTTTCAGTAACGTAGTATAGCAGAAAGTATATGCAGTAATGGAGGTTTCATTTCAGCTTTTAGTGAAGAACACCATACTTGATAATGCATTGCTTTACTGTGATTATAAATGTATTTGACTGTTTTGGCGGGACTAGTAATAATTACACGTTGTAAAAATGAATGAAGAGCACACACTGTGTAAGTATAGCTAAAGTTAAGATTTGTCAAGCTGTGCCAATGCCATAGTTGACTGACAGAACTTTTTTAGACATTACAGGTGGTGCAGTGAATTGGAGTTCTGCTTCAAAAATAAACTGGATGCTTCATCATGATGAAAAGAAGTAATTCTGTTGAGAAGAATAATTTTTATTTTAGAGTAGTGTGCATCTGTAAGGGATTTATATTTATAATTGTTGGGCTTATTTTTAACCTCTGTCAGTGTCTTTTCTGTAGTCCAGTCCATGTACTTATCCTAGGATGAGGGAAAACACGTAACCAGACAATTTTCTTGATGGTTTCAAAATAGCAAAAATGTGCTCTGTGAAGGATACAAGGCTGCAAGGGTTTGTGTGGAAGTTGTGGTGGTTATTACCTTAAGTATAATGTCTATTGAGTTATGAATATAATTCTTTTAGAAGAACACGTCAAGGTTAGGTGATTTTTATTAAGTATAGGGTGTGTTTCAGAGAGCTGAATACCATTTACACAGAGCTGTTTGTCAGGTTGAGTGTCTGTTGTCACTTCAACACTCACTTCAGAGCTGTACCAAATTCATGTGTTAAATGCATGCTGAAAAGCAGATCTCCCATTTGAGGAGTTCTGCTACTACTCAGAGAACAACTGAATGAAGCATGTGAACCCTAGGTTGTTACAGTGTCAAATGTTAGTGGCAGGAGATGCAAGCTTCAAGCAATTAATATTAGAATAAAAGGAAGTTTTAATAATTTACTATATAAGAACTCACTAGCAATTTTTGACATTTCACATTTCTTGAAAAGGCTTTTCACAATTGCTGCACATACAGAGAAAAATACCTACTATACAGGCAGAATGGAATTTAAATGAGAAAGAACTAAAAAAGAAAACAGAAAAGGATTTTTTTTTCTTGAATTTTCCTTAAAAGTAAATATGATGAGCACAGGTATTTCTGGGAGGAAATAAAATTAATCAATTGACATTAGTGCAACTAAGATGTGTATAGTTTACGAGAAAAGAGAAAGGTACTGCTGACCAATAATTCTGTCATTTTATAGCATTTGCCATCTTTCACAGCACTGTCAAGAATTAATTCTCTGAATTTCTTTAGGCTTTTAATACAGGCTCGCTATGATGTAAATATTAAAGATTATGATGGCTGGACACCACTTCATGCTGCTGCTCACTGGGGTAAAGAAGAAGCATGTCGCATTTTAGTGGAAAACCTTTGTGATATGGAGGCTGTCAACAAAGTGGTAGGATTTTTATGTAATCCTTGTCAAGATACAAAGTTCTGGTCTCTAAAGTGACTTTAGAAGCCAGGGTAAGAGAAGTGATGATAAACTGCTGTTTACTGTACATGGAGCTTTATATAGTGCATGTTTTGTCAAAACAGCATGTTTGTGTCTATAACTAAATTCCCTGATTGTACAAATTAGTTTCAAGACCTACTTTATACTCATTTCTATATCATATGATCCTGAAATTCAAAATAGTTTTATTGATATTTTGGACTTAGGAAATTATTGACTAGATAGACTGCAAACAGGCAGTCAGCATTTGTTTGCCAGAGACAACCATGATGCCTTTGGGTAGCGTTGGGCATTAGCATCTGCTTTTAACTCCTAAAATCGGCTTGTGTTGAAATGCTGATGAGAGATCACTGTGCTGATTTGGAGGTACTTGTAGAAATTTTTAGGCACCTGTGGACTCTCTGGACATAACTTGGATGCTACCTAAGTTGTATTTCCTTGACTTGTGCGCAAAGGCCTGTGAAGTTCTTGGCTTTGCAAGACCTTGCTCCCAACAGGTACAAGTATATTGATGATTCACATAGGTATCACAAGGAGCCGAGACTCTTTGTTCAACCGTGTAAGTGCTGAAGCTCCCTTTCTTCTCTTTGCATCACATTCTACAGCTAGATTCTGATATGCTTTTCATTTTTAGCAATATTGTGTATGTAGATTTCCTGCCCAACCTTTAGCATGGTTTCTTCACTGAATTTTCATTTTTCAGTTTGTAATTAGGGAAATAGGCACATACAGACTCTTAATTTAGATCATGAATTTGCCAGTATTTATATAAAAGCAAAGTTAAGATTGCTAATAATAAAATAAATGAAATCTGGAATTATATTTCAAGTAGTTTAAGTCTGCTTCTATATAATACTTAATAGAACTTCTTGAAATCAGCTATATGATTGTATCAGGTAATCAGAAGTGGTTCTAGTGGTTGGTGACCCTGCCTATGGCAGGAGGGTTGAAACAAGATGATCATTATGGTCTTTTTCAACCCAGGCCATTCTATGGCTCTATGATGCCATTAGTTGAAGCCAGTTTATCAAGTTATCTGCTAGACATTTTAAGAGGGTTCATGAGAATGTGAGGAGTGGTATTCCTGAGAACACTCATAAAAATGTATTCAGCTCAACTGAGGCAAGAATAAGAAGAAAGGAGCTACAGAGAGTTAGGAATTGTTTATTTGGGGTATGGACTTGTCTGTGCAAGCTGTTTTGCTTGTTAAGTTCTTCAGTAAGCCATTAAGTGATTTTGCTTGTAGTGACTGAGAACTCCACCACATCTGGTTTCAATTATAGGTGCTTAGCACCACAGAGAACATTATTGTTCAGGCACTTAACTTCAGGTATTAATATCTGTGTACTGAGTTTAGACACATCCTTCCAACTACAAAAGGGTTGTTTTGTTTTTTCAAAATTATGTTTTGTGGTCAAAGTAGGTCTAATGTGATGGTTTTTTTTGGAAATAAACCCACTTAATAGCTGCCTAAAAATAGAAAGCCAGATCTAAACCTGTGATCACGATGCAAATATAAATTATAGATAATATTGTTGTTTAGTTTCTAAGTTAAGTGACGTGCTATGTTTAATGGAATAGCTCGCGTCAGAGGACCTCAAGCTTTTTTGGGTAATGTTTGTTGGAAGGAGCATGTGCTTCTGGTGTATGATCAGAAGCTTTATGTTTGTGAAAAATTAGTGACTTAAAAGGTCTGTTCTTTCTAACCACTTAAGACAGCCTTCACAATCCAATCAGCAGTATGTTCATCCGTAGTTAATGTTTTGGTAGAATTAAATAAGCATTGAGACAAATGCGAACACCTTTTGTTATCTTTCTCATCTGCTGTGACCGCTTTAAATTGGCAACTCTGGTGTTATTGCTGGTTATTGTACAAAAGCATTTACATTACTGATCTTGTAATCCCACCACATTTCAGCATGTCCACCCAACATGCTGATGTGGCTGCATTTGTACCCAATGTTGCAGGCATGACTGCCTAAATTCTAAACTAACCCTAAATGCAAACTTTCAAGTAGAAAACATTGTACTGTAGTATCAAAGCAAATAAGTTAGGCTTTCTTTGTGAAACTGCGAAACTGTGAGAGTTTCAGCCTTTCTTGTCTTCTTCAAGCAGAGGAGAAGTAAGAAATTTGCAACCTTTATCAATTCAGATCTTACAAATAGAATCTCATGTCCTGTGGGCATCTGGTCTAGTCAAGAATTGTACTGACCGTATAGTTGATGTAAGATACATCAAGGTGAAGAAATTCCAGCTGATGGCATTGCTCTCTATTAGTGAATCACTGTGTGATGTTTATTCAAACATGTTCCATGAAAATCACCCAGAGGGGGATAAGAACAAATAACTGTAGCAGATCATTTCCAAAATGGATCAGGACATGTAAATACCGTTTTAATGTAAAAACATGAAGGCGCGACTATTAAGATATCAAGAAATCAACCGCACTTGGTAGTCTAAGGATAGACAGGATGCTAACTGGTTTGTGTTGATGCAAACATTTGCCACTGGAATAGCTGTTTGGAACTAATATTGTGTATTTCATTCTTTCAACTGGTTTTGTTTTCCTTTTTTTTTTTCCTTAATAGGGTTTTTTTTTCCCTTGAAAAGACAATAACATTTTATTGAAGTCACGTTTTTCTGTCTTAAAAAGTACTTAGCCATTAGCATTAGGTACAGATGTTTATTTTTCAATTACAAAAGAGAAAGTAATATTACAAAATTGTTTTCAATCACTGACAGACTAACAGTTTGTAATAGAGCTTGGCCTATATATTCTAATTTCTCAGAATGATTGTGCTCCTTACCCACATCATCAATGGGATAAGGCACCATAATCTATTGCATTGAAATTCTGTTGTACAAAAATAGTGTTTCACTTTTCCTTTTCTCCAGGGGCAGACAGCATTTGATGTGGCAGACGAGGATATTCTAGGATACTTAGAAGAATTACAAAAGAAGCAAAATCTGGTAGGCCTTTTTCATATGTATAAATTGTATTTTATTATGCATATGATACATTTCATAGTTAGCTCAGAATAACATACAGATTAAAATCAAAGTTTTGATTTGAGGCTTCAACTCCAGTAATGCCAGCTGTCATCTCAACTGTCTTTTCATGCCATTATTTGGTCAGTTATGGTGACCAAAAAGCCCTGGATTAGAGAAAATCCCTACCTATTTGCCTTCTCCAGTGGGTATTTTATGATCTGAAGCAGCAGCAATCGATCAGCAGTTTCCTGGAAATAACAGATTCTGAGATTTTAGAATTTTAAAGTTGGATACTTTGAAAGTGTGTATATTTCAGTGTTCTCAGTAGTTAGAGGGCTCTCTGCTAGTGATTTTGTCACATAGATGCCATTCTGTCAGTTTAACTGCATTATTCTATTTGTTTTGAAGCTTCATAGTGAAAAACGTGAAAAGAAATCTCCCCTAATTGAATCCACAGCTAACTTGGATAATAACCAGACACAGAAAACATTCAAAAAGTAAGTAAACTAGAGAAATGATGAGCTCTTAATGAAAAGTGTAATTTCACCAGCTGTCACAATGTCCCACCTGGCAGGTTTTAGTAATTTTTTCAGTACTTAGGAGGTATTTTTCTTTCCAAATTCAGTAAAGAGACATTGATTATGGAGCAAGAAAAGAATGCATCTAGTATAGAGTCTCTGGAGCAGGAGAAAGCAGATGAAGAGGAAGAGGGAAAGAAGGATGAATCCAGTTGTTCCAGTGAGGAAGAAGAAGATGATGACTCAGAATCTGAAGCGGAGACAGGTATGTTATTGGACTATTTGTCTTTAAGTTTTTGCTTTAGAAATTTATTTAATATCACAGGATGGAGAGTTAATATTAAGTTTCACTTCTGCATTTCACTAAGCTTCCAATCGCTTTAAATAATATTTATGTATGACTAAATTCAAGTCATCACACAGATACAAAGGTGCCTTTGTTGGTGGTGCTCATGGTTAAAGGAGTTAATCTGCTTACTTGACTGTCTAGTTAGCAACTAATTTTAATTAGTTATGTGGAATGTATAAGCCTTAAGTAGCATGTCAAAAAAACATTGAAGAAGTTAAAAGGTCAGTGGAGAGATGAAGTCTTTGTTAGCAACGTTTGCTCATGGACTTGTCATAGAGATTGAAACAGCAGATACTGAAGCATTCCCATTTGTGCTTACCATCCTGAAGTAAATACCTATGGATATGGCAATTGTAGATATTCATAAAGTGCTGGTGTATATATTTACTCTTGATCATGTATTGAAATGAACTCCAGAAGTGCTTTTTAACTTGATGTACATTTTGTATACAACTTCACTTCAAGAAGAATGTTGCAGGAAAAGTTCAGAATTGTATACATAGAATTGAATATTGATGTTTAATTTAAATTCATGCAGCTTAGACTGGGGGAGACATTAACTTACTTGTCTAAGTATGCCAGTTGTCTGAGTCTCAAAGTCTCTACGTGGTGAAATGAGGTGGGAAAAAGTAAAGAAGCAGAAACAGTGAAATGGGGAAGTGAACAGAATTAGGATGATCAATATATCCATATATTTTTATTTCACCTTTCTCGCTATCCGGATTTATGAGCGCTTCTTATAATTTCTGCTGAATATAGAAAAGTACCCTTGTGTATGCATTTATTCCTTCTATTGGTATTCCTTCTTGTTTGTCCTGTATTTTGCCTTCTGTTGCTTGTCTTGTCACACGTATTGTTTTTCACTGTTTGACTGCTGTGGTGACTGATGAAGTGTACATGAAATTTACTATGAAGTGATAGGCACAGTCATTCAGTACTGCGTCTCTTGGTCAACAGTTTGCTCTTGAGTGGAATGTAGCTTGCTTTTTTTTCTTGAAAGATCTTAAAAGATCGGAGTCTTAAAGCAAATAACAATGTAAGAACAGCACAGCAATCTTTTCTTTTGAATTAGAAGACAAATATCAGGCAGTCAGTGTTTCTAAAGATAACTATTCAATCCTAATGAAAGGGTTCAGAATTACAGTTCAGTAATACAATATACAGAAGTAGATGTATTAGAAGTCATTAGAAGTATCTTGCTAATATTTTTTATTTATGCTTTTTGAAGTGAGTAAACCTATTTGGTGAGCTGTCAGTTCTATTTTAAAGCATTTTTTTCTAGTGTATTGACATGAAATGCTAAAGTTAAAAAAGGATTTTAGAGCTAATAAATGTATCATAAATACTTGATCTAGGGAGAAATAAAAATAAAACATGAAATCAGAATAGCTCTTGGAGTTTTTTAAGGTGTTGGGTTTTTTTGTAAGGTAACGTTTCGTTAAGCAGGAACAAAAGTTTGTCACATCTTTAAATTATTCTCTCACCTCGTATACTTGCATCTCTTATTTACAGAGACTGAGCTTGGACAAACGCAGAACACTTGTGCTACATAACATGTAGTGCTTTCTCAGTCACTGAACTAACTGTAATGTCTCCTGAACTTTCTGATTCTGGTAACTGTGTTCTCTTCGTTTCCAGTGGACAGTTTGTGCCAGGAAAATTTGACTGTGACACAAGAATTAATTTATGTAAACTTTGGGGTTTTTAATATCAACAGGGCTTTATCATACTTTATTTGGCAAGCTGGACTTTAAGCTTTTCCCTTCAGAACTGCATCTCTCAGTTTCAAGCTTGTGCTTTCCCTTTTTTCTCATTTTTGACCTTAAGGTGGTTTTCTGGTGAAAAATCTTAAGCTTACGAAGAGCATTTTGGTTGTAGAATGTTTTAACATCGTTAAAATATTACATTTTAAAAATTACAACATTGTTAACAATGTTCTGAAGTACTGTAAACTGTCTGATTTCCAATCTGTTAGTAAATCCAAAGTGTTTTCCTAAAACTTCCATTTTGAGAGTACAGCTTAAAAATAAATGTTTTTCTTTCTGTAAGGTGAAGCAGTGAAATATGATTACAAAACTAAAAGGGAAACAAACTAAAAATCAAAACTTACAGTACTTCAGCTTTTAAACTTATTTTCTTTGGGATAGTTCTGTATTTTTTGAAAATTACTCTTATCTCAGCCATGCATAATTCTATGTTCCATCTGTCTTTGCAACAATTTCAGAATACAGTTGGGAAAAATCCATTTTTTCCATCTTTTCCTTTCACTCCTGATAATTTTTTCTGTGTATTACGAAGCTGTGTTATTGACTTGCAAATTTCCAGATCTGTCTGTGCGTCTCTAAAGCTTTTTCACTCTCTACTGTCAGCCTGCATTGCTCTGTGGAACGTTCCCCTTGTGTTTAAAAAGAGCTTTCTCTTAAGTGTAATTAGTCATGTAAGTTATTCACTGCTCAGTATTGAATGGGTAATGTAGAAATGAAGGCATGTTTATAGGAGGGGCAAAATCAAAGGAGACTGATCCACTGTTGCTCAGCACTGCAGAAATAAGATGTAGCAAGAAATTCCAAAGAATTTACAGTTTGAATATGTGAAACAAACGAGGCGTAAGATTATGCAGTGCAAGCAAGTGCAGTGACAACAGTTGTGCAGTAACCCGGACGTTATCTGTGTGTTTACTTCAGAGGAATTCAGGTATGCAGTGGAAGAAATACTGGGCCAGAAGGACAACCAGAAGAGGTTAGACTAGTCAGACAGTGAAACATAGGTGGGAAAAACAGGAGACAAAGAAGGAAGAAAGCAAATGGAAGTCAGAGCTCTTGTTGTTTTTCAGAGGACCAGCAGGTTCCTGTCTCAGCTAAATTCTGCTGTCCAAAGTCCCTGGCTGGATTCTCCATGCAGTCAAATATTTCTTTATACTCAATATACACAGTTATCCAAGAATAAATGTTTTACTTTGAATAGGCATCTTTTATAGTTCAAGTTAACTATTATATGCCAGTGTACCTCCCACTGTTTAATTTTTAGGGTCATTAACCAAAGGCTAAAGTATAGTCTGCCTAGAGAGGTTGTAGCACCTCAGTCAGTGGGTGTTTTCAAGGCCTGACTCATCAAATCCCTGAGCAGCCTGGGCTGTGTGTAGTGTTGACTCTGCAGGAGGTTGAATTAGGTGGCCTGCTGAGCTCACTTTCAACCTGAACTAGTCTGTGATTCTGTCACTGCATCTCTGAGTCTTTCCGAATAACAAAAATAAGTAAAATATTATATGCATGAATGTCATGGAGAAAAAGGTCAATTTAACTATGAGACAGATTGAGAGGGATAGGGAAAATACTGAGAAATAAATAATAAAGCACTGTTGGGAAAGTTGACTGTTAAATATGTTAAAAACAAGTTCAAGTCTTTGTTGGAGAAATAAGGGACTTATGAATGACAGATTAAAAATGAAAATGAAAATATTGTATATATTTTTCAGATAAGACCAAAACCTTGGCTAATGCGAATACCACAAGTACACAATCAGCATCGATGACTGCTTCAGTAGCTGGAGGTCAAGGGACACCCACATCACCTCTTAAGAAGGTAAAATGAAGTACTTGTATTGTGATTTTACACATCTGTTCTCCTGTGGAAGTGTATATTTTTTCGTTTTGAAATTGAATGGAGTTATCCAGTGAGCTAATGAAAACATGCCAATTTATGATACTGTTTGGTTTTTTTTCTGCAGAAACTATGTTCAGTTTTCATAAATTCTGAAATTTGAATGAACAGTTTTGATTCTAAACAGGAATCCAGGCATCTGAAATACGTAGCTACAACATAGCTGAACACAAGATCCATTTAAAAAAGAAAAGATCTGTTGCACAGTAACTGGAATTCTTGTTTTTCTGAAGCTAAAGTTAATCTCTCAAAAATCTTTTTTATGCTGGACTCCTCCTAAAGTTTTAGAAAGTACTGTTGGTCTTAAGGTAAGGGAGCTTTGAGGTCCTTAGTAGGATTCAGCTAATGTTAGAAGTTGACAATTGATAAGCACAGAAAATTGAAATAATATCTGAAGTAAGAAGTAGAAAGTGTTGTAGCTTCCAACACCGATCTCAGTATGGTTAAGATCTAAAGGAAGAACTGGAGCATTGGGACTCATGATTTATTCAGTGCAAATAACCTAACCAGCACAAAAACACACTCAGCAAAGCCATATTGCTTACAGGAAGCTTGATTTATAAAGTTGATTTGAACAAATCTTAATTTTGCTTGTCAAAGGAGAGGTATATATGATGAGAGAAGAAAACTACAGCAGATAATAATATATAGTCACAAGATGGTATACAAGTCAAACATTCATAATATTTGAGCAAACTGGATAGCAAGCTGGGAAGGCTTCCTTTGTCATTTGTTAAAGGTTTTCTATGCATGTTGTAATCAAGGCTTCACCCTTACAGGTTCTGGAAAGCTTGTTTAGGGGAAATAGTGACTATGGTGCACTGAAGCCACAGTAGAGAGGGAAAACATACGGCAGGAGGAATACTGTGCATTGTATTTTTCAGCTCTCTGAAGCTAATTGGAGTTGTGCTTACATAGGCACAACAGAACTTAATGATAATTCATCTTAGAAAGTGTTGGTTTGGACTTAATGGTCCCAACACTGGAGTATGTCCAAAGAAGGGCCAAAGGGCCACAAAGCTGTTGAAGGGTCTCGAGCATAAGTCTTAAGAGAACTGGCCAAGAGAACTGGGATTGTTTAGTCTGGAGAAGTAGTAGTTCAGGGGAGACCTCATCGCTCTGCACAGCTACCTGAAAGGAGGTTGTAGCAAGGGGGGGGGAGGGTTGGTCTCTTCTCGTAGGTAACTTGCAATAGGACAAGAGGCAGTGACCTTGAGTTGTGCCAGAGGAGGTTCAGGTTGCATATTAGGATAAATTTCTTCTCTGAAAGAGCGGTAATGCAATGGAACAGGCTGCTTAGGGAAGTGGTGGAGTCAGCATCCCTGGAATTGTTTAAGGAAGGGGTAGATGTAGTACTTAGGGACAGGGTTTAGTGGACATGGCAGTGATGGGTTGACGGTTGGACTTGATGATCTTAATGGTCTTTTCCAACCTTGTTGATTCAGTGATTCTATGTAAAAGATCCAGGCAGTATATTTAAAAATGCCCAATTGCTTCATATCCCGTGATACTGTACAATATGGTTGCACCAGCCTTCCTGATCTTAAAAGCTGCTTTGTAAAAATCATCACAACTGAGTTCCGCAAGATTTCTCTTAAAAAAGAGATAAAAGCAGAACGTAATTGTGGCCATGGCTTCCTGGTAGAAATGACTGCTCCACTCGTAGAAAAAGAAAAAAGAAAAACCTGGTAGAAAAGACTCCCCACTCTGAGCCTTTGCATCTGGTCAGACAGCTTGATTCCAGGGTGATCTTGTTATGTTAGTCTAAACACTTTGCACTCGCTCCATTGGTAATTATGGTTCTCTGTCACGGCAGATGCATTTGATGCACTCAAGATCTACACAGAACTTGAGCCACAAGTTTTCTATGCAAACTACAGCAAATGGGGAGCTGGGGGAGACGGAAGACAGTAATTTCTGCTTTACTAAATGTCTGTAACTGTACAGAATGGAGAAACATATAGCGTGAATTTAACTGCAAGGAGACAGATCTACTTTATATAGTTTATTTTTTGAAGTCAGTTTATTAACGCAAGCATTTCTGACAGCTGTTCAGTTTAAGTGATACATTCTCCAGGCAGATTTTGTATTGGAATTCATATTCTAAGATATCTAGCACTTCAGAAGTCTTTGTTTTTCATGTCACAGTAAAAGTTTCCTAGCTTGTGCCTCCCAATCAAGTTAATTCATATTGCACAAAAGTATTCCAAGCTGTGTGATCTTCAGTGACAGGATGTTAACAAATCATTACAAGCTTGGAACGTGGCTTCATATTCTAGAGTTGTATGATCAGTTAAGCGGAATTTTTCTGGAATGTGTTTAAATGATGATGTATGAAAAAAAATTCAGTGAGAAGTAAGTATGACTTTAAGCTAACTAAGAACCTTTTGTAAATCATTAAGCATTTAGTTTCGTCTGATTTTATTATACTGTAATTAATGGCTTACCTTGTGTTGTTGGGTTTTGTTTTGTTTTTTTTTGTCTAAAAGGTTAAAGAGAGGTGCAGGTTAAAAGTACACTGCAGTAGTCTTTCTAATATTTGATGTGAAACTCCGTGTCTTCTGTATTTCCAAAATAAATGCATATTTATATTGAAGCTGATCACCTTGTAACATAGCAATGCACGTGTGACCTGAAGAAGCAGTTGCAGCTCGTGTCAATGAACAAAAATGGTTTAAGATGTTTTGACTGAAAAAAGGTAAAACTTGTACAGGTACAAGTTGCCTTGAACCTAATCATGCACCTGCCTTTTCAGGCTTGCAACATCTCTACTACTGCGGTTACTCTTCTGATTTTACACCATAGATGGCCAAACCATGTGTTGCTCACAAGTGCTGCAGATGCAGTGTACTAACTTGAATTTGGGTTTTCTTCAATCTCTATGGCATTCAGTAATGCTGCATTCTGTCTGAGGACATTAAACTTAGGCAAGTGTGCAAATAAAGGTATGAGATTTGATAGCTAAGTTAGCATATGATTAGATTAAGAGATATGAATGGAATATGAAAGAAGATAAGAAAGGTGATGGTATGTTAGTGTGAATCTTGAAATATTCTCCAATATACCATGATTTAGGCATGAACCTTGTTAGGTCTAGAGGCTGTGCTATCCTCTCTTCTGCAAACTGTAATAGCATTGCTGAATTAGCTAAACATATTGCATTGTGTTTCATAAGAATCTGTTACTGAAGTTTTAATTATCTTACTGCTTTTAGGTATTTCATGGTGTAACGAAGAGCTACATGCCATAAACATAGGAACAAACTGTGCTTTTGGAACTACCTTTTGTTTCTATTTTCCTTTCTTTCATCTTTGTCTTGTCTCAATTGGCTTTAGTATGATTTCATTCCTCCTATCATGCCTGTCGTGGAGTCAGTAGATCCTGCATCATGGAGGCAGGGCTTGCGCAAAACTGGCATTGTTCTTGTGCCCAATAAGGGTGAAAAGGCAATGGTGAGGTTCTGGTGTGCACAGGCTTGTGTACAGGTTGCAAAATAACATGTTTAATCAAATGTTGATAGCAGATTTGCATGGTTTTAACTTTGTATCTCATGATCACTGTGTGTATTACAACGTGTGAGTTTTTCCAAGCTAACTTTTAGAGGAGTAGTACTCCTTGACCTGTTTTATGTTTCTTATCTCATTAACTAATAAGAGAGGGGATTGCCTAGGTTGTCTCTCACTACAGCTCCCCCATGTATTCAGTACTTCCATGATTATTAGACGTAGTTGTGTTCTCAAATCTCTGCAAGGAAATTGAATTACTACAGTTAATGCAAATTAATAGCCTTTTATTTGCTACTGTGTTTTATAGTTTCCAACATCTACAACCAAGGTTTCTCCCAAAGAAGAAGAAAGGAAAGATGAATCTCCTGCTTCATGGAGGTTAGGTCTTCGAAAAACTGGCAGTTATGGTGCACTTGCAGAAATCACTGCTTCAAAAGAAGCTCAGAAAGAAAAGGACTCTGCAGGTGTTATACGTTCTGCTTCAAGTCCTCGACTTTCCTCTTCATTGGACAACAAAGAAAAGGTAATTGTTTTCGGAGTGAAACCAGCGTTTTTACCACACATTTATTCTGCAGTAAAATTCCAAGCTGTTAAATTATATATCTGTTGTGTAATCTCTTCAAAAATACAGAATGCACCAGTACTGTCTTGTGACTTGGTGCATAGGAGTGGGACTTATCTCTTTTAGGGACTTGCACTGTCAGTAGTAGTGTTTTTTACAATTATAGAGATGTGAGGGTTGGCAGTTTTGGCATCATTTGGAGAATGATGTTGAAAGAATTTTCTGAAAGAGGAAAGCTTTTATTGAATACTATGGTCATTTTTTATTTATAAAATGTTTAAACACAAATACACTGCAGTGAAGGACTGATTTGGAACAGGTATCTAAACAACATATATTCCCTTTCAACCCAGGCCATTCTGTGATACTATGATTCTGTGATTCTGTTTCAAGTACAAATGTTTAAATCCATTCTCAGAAATACTACTGAGCTATAGTATATAAAAATACTAATACAGTTTCTTCAGTAAGTAGTTTCCTGCTTTCCAGTAATACAGCTCTGAACGAGAAATCAAGTCATTTACATTACTACCATGAAATCACAAACAGTTCCCTTTTACTGTTTTAATCCTTAAGATATTTAACTGAAAACTCACTTGTATAATTGAGTCACAGTAAATACAAACGAAGTTGCTGTAATGGTGATTTTCCAGTTAACAGGCACTACAATCAGTAATACTAACGCTTATTAAAAATCTGTGTCTTTCAGGAGAAAGATGGAAAAGGAGCTAGACTTGCCTATGTTGCACCTACAATACCAAGACGACTGGCCAGTACCTCTGACATTGATGAAAAAGAAAACAGGTGACTCTGAAGTTACTGCTAAATATTAAATTATGTAATTTTAGAGTGGCTGAAAAACATACAGATATGAAGATGATCCTAGTTCGTAGCATTAACCCGTTTCATAGATTATGCTTACCTGTAGGGTAATTGAATTCTGAAAGGGTTTTTGTCATGTAAGTCATGATTACCCCTTTTAAAATCCACGTTATTTTGTGGTAGAGTCAGTTCTGGGCATTGAGTGTTGTCATCTTGGGGGAGAAAATAAAATTAAATGCAAAATAGTAAGGTGTAGAATTCCAGCTAATGAAGGATACAGAATTTTACTGCTTTGTCTTAAACCACAGAGTGCTGACATTGGGTTCCATTATTACTTTTGCAGAAAAAAAGAAACCATCCTCTTTCCTACAGTACTTGATTAAAACCATATCATTCAGCATCAGCAGTTTACAAGAATCCTAGCAGTTCTTTTGTAACTTCCACTTCTGTCTTTCTTGTTTTATTGTTGGTCTTTCATCATCTTTTGCACATGCTTAATCCTTTACTAGTATTTTTTCCTTCAGCTTTTGGTATAAAGAGAATAAAAAGTTTAGGTGCAAAGCTTTGTCACTTACTAGGATTCAGAGTACTTCCATGACATACCTTGTGAGAATCTTCCCAGTTTTCACTTCTCTCTTTTATTAAGATTCTACTTGACTACTTTCTTGAGTTTTAATATAGAATGCATAGTTTAAAGCAGAGAAATCTCCTTAATGCCTTGTTTCTGTCAGGTTGTATCCAGACAGCCAAATTTTGAAAACTTAAAATCAAAATTATTGATCAAAATGTGCTACTGTATCTTTGCATCTAAAGCTGACTAACCTGTTTTTGGAGTATTTCTGTTGATATACTTGAGAATGGCTCAGGTAAGAGCAAGCGCAAGATGCATTCTGATTTTTCTTATGCTTGTGGAATATTGTTGGCTATGTTCAGTCTCTGAGTGACAAATTCTGTTCTGAAACAGGTATTCCAGATCTCATGCTCCCTTAAAGTTCATCTTACTGTGTTGGCATCTCTTGTGTTACTTGACCATTTTTTCAGATCTGTATTTCTGTTAACATTGCAGTTTGGAGTTTCTGTTGTCAGTCTCTGAGAGTACTGTATTCTTATTTGAGGTTGAATTTATTAGTCTTGATTCGATTATAACAGATTGTTCTTATTTCAAGTCTTATTCTATTGCAATTTCCTTAAATACTCTCACTATCCAAAAATGTCTTGGCTAGATGATATCTTAAGTTTGAGATAAATATTGAATTGCAATCATATTTCTTATGAATTTTTATTGATTGTCACAAACAGATTAAATGTTGGTGCAATGTTGAGGTATATTTGTCTCCTTGATATACCAGTCTTAACCATCATTACTTATTCACGGACCAAGTTCCAAAAGTGGTTACCAGCTATGTTATGTTTCTGCTGATATGCTTGACCAGAGATCATCAATGTCATTAGACCTGGTGTTGACTAAACAGTTGACCTGAGAATTTCCTTTGTTTCTTGACATACAAGTGATAAAGTGTGGTTTTAGGCCAGCTTTTTTAGGCACCTGTACCTTGCCTTGTGTATGTTACGGTGGACAATTCAACTTACTTAAAGTCACTGACACTTAGTCTGACCTCTCTTAGATGTGGAATTTAACTATCTGCCCTGCAGGTACATTAATTAATTACCAAGAGTTCTGCCTTGTCCCAGATCTCTATCCTTGTTGCTTAGCTTAATGCCTTGTCCTTGTTCCACCTGTCTGAACAACTGCTTGTCTAGATTATAGATGATGTAATGCAATCCATCTTACTTCCTTTTGTGCCTAATGGAAGGACTTCCAGATTTTCAAGATTAATCTCAGCTCAGTGTTTATAGTGCTTGAATTTTGTAGTGGCTTGCATTGGCTAGAATTTGATTCTTTTCTGAAATTGCTTGCAACCACCAAAGTGCAAGCAAAGTGCACATTTTTGTGCAAAAGGATATATTTGGAGTAGAATCTGAAGTCCAAAGGTATCTTGAACACAAAACACATCTTGCAGGATTTACTTTCACTCACATACGATTCCCTTTTGTACTTTTGTGCAAGATATTTCTTTCTTCCGTCTGAACTTCAAACCTTGTGTTTTGTGTTAGAAGCTTTTTTTAGAAGTTCAAATTCTTGTATTTCTGCATCAGTCTTCAGAGTTTTTCCAAGAAGACTTTTGCAAGGTTATTTCTTGATGGTATACACTGCAACAGTAGAAGAGAAATTCTTCATGACTAAAGTAATGTCAGCTAGTGATATATGGCAGGCCACTCAGGAATGGCTACTGCAGGCCTGTTTACACTAGTCTAAAGTAGCGTGAGTTCTAACACGAATAATCTCATGAAATCAACTTCTGAAACAGCAGGTAGTTTTCCCTTGATGGCACTGAATTGTCTCAGCCAATAAAGAAGCATCTTGCTCCTTTTTAGAGTGAAACAAAGCCAGCACTGGTCACAGATAAAAGCTGATGTTTGACTTCTCCTTTAACAGTTTTTCTTCTGATACTTCTTTTCAATTTTATTTCAAACAGTGTTAATATGGATCTGTTATTTTTTGACAGGAATTTGAAAATTATTGTGCATAACAGGTCATTTTATTCTTTTTCTCTACAGTTATGTTTATTTTAAGTGTGTTTTCCACACATAGTTTTTCCATCTTTAAGTTAAAAATCATTTGCATTTCATCAAAACCAACTTGCTTTAATACGAATTTGCTAAAACAAAATCTTATTTACAGGGACTCGTCTGCTAGCTCAATACGTAGTGGCAGTTCCTATGCAAGGAGAAAATGGGAGGAAGATGTCAAGAAAAACAGTTTGAATGAAGGTCCTACATCCTTAAACACAAGTTATCAAAGAAGGTGTGGGATTTTCTCTTGTCTTTCTTTGATCAAATGAGATTTCAGATTGGAAAAAAAAAATCATTTCTGAATCCTTTATTTGAACAATACCTTGATAAAATGGTGTTCATAGTAATTGCAAAGTATGTACTTAAGCCATATATTTTTACCAGCTTAGAGCATTAGATCAAATGCCACGTAGGTTGCTCTGAAAGTAATTCCTCCTATTTATTTCCATGAAAATTACAGCAGTTACAAAGAACACAATAACTCTATTCGATAGAGCAAGTTATCAGCTACAAAACATTATTTTTTAGGGTAGCCACCACCATAAGCTATACATTTTTGCCACTGATGAACAAGAGCCTGCATGCCATGCTCATAAAAATTTGCACAGCAGAGGTGAACAGTGTTGCTGTTGCCACTGCTGAAATGCACCACCCACTGCCTCACTGTGCTCACATCCACTGCTTGGTCTCCATAAACATTCAGAAGCATTGATGAGTGTCAATGGATGCCATTTTTCCTGCATAGAAGAATTCAGTGCCGCATTTTTGCTTCATATGCACTTCCATGTCAGATGCCATTGTTTCAGCCTGCCCCTCTGCTGCTATCAGCCACACAGCAACAACATGGAATGGGATATTGGTGGGAAGGTTCCACCTCTCCTTCCATACCGCCAACATCTGCCACTAATGTCGTGGGCCAGCGGAATAAAATAGTAGGTATTACTTTTGGAGCAGCCCTCGTATACAAAGTTACGTGCTTTCTTTTTCCTATTGTTTATTTTGAGGTTCTTTTGACTCTTTCCAGATTTTATTAGTAGCCAGAGATAACAGTTTTAACTGCTGGAGCAGAAGTAATTCTCCCTCATATCTGAAAAGAGAAGTGTTGAATTCAGGTTTTACATGAAGATGTCAGAGGTCTTGGGCTGCTGTCCATAGCAGTAGATTATAGCCACACCTACTTTGAGTACTACCATCATGGAGTGTGTATGTAAAACTGAAACTAAGTGGTGACTGATATGAAAATAATTTCCAGTTGTACATACTTCCTATCTCACAGGATTATTTTGGAAGAGATCATATCCAGCAATTATATACGTCATTAACTTTACTCCACTATGTAGTTTCAGTGGCAGATATTTAAGTGAAATTCATTTATTTTAATGAAGTGATCAATAAATATCTAAACAGATCAAAAAGAAGAGGTTGACATTCGGGTAACTAAGTTGTGTACTTGTATGTGCTGGTGACGTAAGTGGTGACAGATGCTTAACTTCTTTTTTTCAGTTGTGCCATTGATGTTTTTAGTGGCATGCAGCCTGTCTATTTCATACAGCCTAGTACATTTTCTGTCTTTGTTAACTTCTAATCTTAAAACAAAAACAAAGTTTTCTTAACTTTGAGTTTAGGAAAACTGTTGCACAGGTTTCATGTTCTGGATGGGAAATATTAATGGTTTGGTTTATGAAAACAGTCTTTGCATGTTAGTCTTTATCAGTATTAACGTTCCAGACTTCAAATGCAATGTGCTCATCACTTTTATATGATACATAAAGCTTTCACAGTAGATTTTCTTAGTTTTTCTTGTACAGTTTTTCTTTTCTCTCTCATTTTAGACTTGATAGCAAGAAAGAAAGATCAATAGAAGAATGACAAATAGTCTTCTTTCCTTAAGCCTTTTGTACTTAGTAATGTGATGTTCTGTCTTAATTGTTTTAACTTGTAGAGTTAACATGTGAAAACACCGTACTTCATAATGCAAAATATGTTCAGCCAGAATTAATGGATAAAAATGTGGAAACCACTGCCATCTTTAAAACTAGAAGAGAAGGGGAAAAGCATAAGTGGAAGATTAATTAAGACTTTTGTTCTTTGCTTGTTTGTTTTTTTTAAAAAGCATATTTAAACTTGTGAAAATTGTTAGACTGGTATTGATGATGTGTTTTTTTCTAACGAGCTGTGAAAAATTCTGTATTTTCAATTTAAAATGGAACACTGGGGACTCTGTGTCAATATTTCAGTAGATGCAGTCAAGTAACACATAAACCAGTGAAATGTCATTTTTCTCTTCTTGTGGAGAAATAGTCAGGTCTGTTGCCTTCATAGGCCATAAGTTAAAAGTCATACTCCATGAAATCAGGAAGAAAATCGCTTTGGAAAATGCTTCCTTTGCCCCAGAAGGACTCAACTGGGACACAGAGTGGTCAGGCAGGAGTTTAATGGATTATTCACAGCTTTGTGATATTTTTTGAACAAAGAAAGATAAGTAATACAAATGCATGAATTGTAAATGTCTCTCCTTCAGTGGCTCCTTTGGTAGAAGACAAGATGATTTGATTAGTTCTAATGTTCCAAGTACTGCATCAACAGTTACCTCTTCTGCTGGTCTTCAGAAAACACTGCCTGCCAGCGCAAACACTACTACAAAGAGTACAACGGGTTCAACTTCAGCAGGTGTACAAAGCAGGTAGTGCCCCAGTGTACTTTTTATTGTTGTTTTTTGTCAGGTCTACTGTGTGCTTATGTACGTGCATGCGTTCTTGTTTAGTAGATCCTGGGGCTCTGGATTTTTTCACTTTCCTGCTCAATTTCTTTCATTTTTACACAATTTGGCTCAAATTGTGAACGGCTTTCTACTGTAAAGCGACAGCGATGTTGATCTAAAAGAATAAATCCAATATTAGAAGGGTGAAGAGTTCAGTTGTTTTGAACTTTTCATTTCCTAATTAAATCAGTTTAATAGCTCAAGTTGAGCTTTCACCGTGGAGACATTTCTCAGATTGCTTTTTTAAAAAATCCATCCCTCAATGTACATGTTATTAGTTGTTTAGTTAAGTGCTTTCATTGTTTAGCTGTTTCCTTTTCTCTTTTTTTGTGTTGCTACTTGTTATGCTGTAGTACCTCAAATCGTTTGTGGGCTGAGGATAGTACTGAGAAAGAGAAGGACAGTGTTCCCACAGCAGTGACGGTTCCAGTTGCACCATCTGTTGTAAATGCTGCGGCCACTACCACAGCCATGACTACAGCTACTTCTGGCACTGTGTCCTCAACATCAGAGGTCAGGGAGAGACGGAGGTGTGTAAAGGTCCTACGAGTAATGTTGCTCTTGTACAAAAGTAATCTTATTTTCTTATTTAAAGGAATGTGTTGCTTACCTCAATTTGGGATAGTGTAACACGAAAAGCGGTGAGTGGTGTTTGCTTGCTGTTCGTTGAAACAACTAGCAACATGCCTCAGTTTATCTGACAACTTAGTACTGGTGGATCTCATCTGTGAAACTTCAAAGTTCAGTTCTGTTTATTTTTTGCTGTCATGGGTAAAAAATTGGGTTCTCATTTGATATACAGTAATTATTAATTTGCATTTTTTGCTAGTAGATTATGTGGATTTTCTTAAAAATACCCATAATGGAACTACATTAAAAACACTGAATGAAAAAAAAGAAAAACAGTAATTTCTTACTTCAAATGCATTGCTGCTTTTTGAACTACTGTGCCAAAGGCAGTATGCTGACAAGTTACTGTGTGGTATTTTTTTTACCCACTTATGCCTGACACTACTGAGAAAAGAGTATTTAACTTCATTCATTTCATTCCATCAGTTAGGATCTTTTCCATTTGAAACATAACTACAGATGTGTTTTCTTCTCCACCATGATTCAGGAAGTGCCCACAACCGTTTTAAATAAAGCCATGAGACAACAAAGTACATCAGTTTCAAAAAATAGTTCCAATTTTAAAACTCAAATGCTATTTCAGTACCAGATGAGCTAGAAAAGCAAGCAGGTGTAGAACTAAGGCTTTCACTGTCTCGTTTGCTCTCACTTAGTGTATGTATACTAATGCGCGTATGCTACATACATCTTAGATACCTGCAGTCGGCCTGAAGTTCTCTGCTTTTAATCTGGTCAGTCAGTGCTGATTGTATAATATATCGCTGTAGGTGTATTTTTGGTGGCATATTAAAATACCCATTAAATCTCAAAAAAAAATCAGCAAAATTTGAATATTTACTGTGTGCATGTCACACTCTAAGTATGTGCACATGCATATCTATCTGTATATATACAGATACATATATCTCTCTGTGTGTATGTGTATCTATGTATGTTTATATGCACATGAGTAAGTTGTGTCTATTTATGAAATATTATATGCTAAATATTTTCTTAAGAAATGAAGTTGATTAATTCATATCTGTAGACAGAAAGAGCATTTTTTGGAAAGCATGCTTGAAGTAGCATTTCAAATAATATTTGAGAAGCAAACGCATTGTGAACTGATTTCAGTAATGGAATATGTAATGAAGCATCTTTTTTGAATGTACTGAAGAAGTTACACTCTATCGAATTTTCAGGATTGCTTTAGAGAAATAGCAAGAAGAATGACAAATGTAAATCTGTAAAATCTTTACATTTTGAATAACACTGCATGACTGACCTGTGAATCAGACATATGGAGGGCCAGTTTCCAGTGTGCACATGACAAGTACTGAGTTTTCATTTTCTTTCAATGAGTTTTAAAGTTTTTCATTTCTTGGAGGATAGGAGTATGTACACCAATTACTACTTAGTAATTTGCAGTAATTTGCAAGCTCTAAATGTTATACCTACTCTACAACCAGAACTGTCTTAGGTCATTTACAGCTTGTGGCTAGATTATATATTGACTAAGCGTAAACTAGAGCCAGTGCAAACGAGATTCACCTGACCAGCTGTATTTCAGGTTAGCTAAAGCAGCTAGCAGACACCCTGTTCCTTATATAGATAGGGCTCAATAGAAGAAAAGAAAACTTTACCAAAAGTACTGTTCGTAAAAGAAAAAGATAGGGAAATCAATTAATACAGCTTTATTTGTTTTCAAATGTGTCATAAGATGTTTTTCATATTTGAACATTTAACAGCTAATTATATTTTTTCTTTCCCTAATTTGGGGATAATTTGTTCAGTAGAGATGGAACATAGTTGTTAAGACACAGACATAATAATTTGTGTAAATAAAGTTAATTTGTGTAAATAAAGTTTATTTCAAAAATTTAGAACTGTCTTTAGCATTTCCCAAGCAGAGAACTATATGATTAGGTGATTGAATAACTGCTCTTTCCATAAATTAATCTTCTAAGTGTTAATAGGTGATAGCTTCTCAAACAAAATATTTAAATCAATAGCCAGTTTTTTAATAAAGAAATGCAGAAAGTAGTATATAGACAATCAGAAAATATTATTGAATCTGAGTCTACAGTTTTTAACATAGTTAAAATTGATGATCTAAAGAAGCTCAGAGAGGTTTTGCACAGGGTCTGTCTTTTGGATTGTCGAATGCATGGATGATACATGTGAAGACGAGGTAATCACTTCCTCAAGGATTTTTAATTTCAGGTGCAATAGATTGTTTCATTAGGTTTTCTGCCTTAGGAATGCATTAGCTTTTTCTAAAGCCTTAACGTTATGTTAAAGGTTTACACGTGCATGCAAACACACAGACATATTTTGTGTGTAAACGTAACTGGCTGAGGTTTATGAGGTCTTTTACCCCAATGTTAGTTGACCAAAGTAGTTATATTTAGATAAAAATAAATCTAAATTAAGTAGGAAGGCATATGTATTTTAATTGAGTTTTAAGGCTGCGATCTTCATGAGCAAGTGCTATGGATGAAATGCCTAAAATGTAATTCATCTCATACATACAGTCAAAGGTTTTCTCAAACTGCTTTGTTTTTGTCATACCATGTTGTATTTTTCTGACCATTTGATGAATTTGTCTAAAAATTATAGTTTGCCAACTTGTTTGTACTTAATTCTTTAGATCATACCTCACTCCAGTACGGGATGAAGAGTCAGAGTCCCAAAGAAAAGCCAGATCCAGGCAAGCAAGACAGTCCAGAAGATCTACGCAGGTATAATTTTATTACAGCTTCTACATTTATGGAAACATACAGCTCCAAAAGTACAGTGAAGTTTTGGTTTCCCACTAAATTTCAAATAACCAATTTGTTTTCCAGTCATAATTGACTTGTACCAGATGAATATGTTTTATTTCCCTGCTTCTCCTGAAAGCTTAAGGAGCCCTTACTGTGGTTTGAAGGTAGCTTTTTCTAATTAGCAAAGACAATCTTAATACAAGCTTGAAAGCAGGGAAGCAGCCACTGAAAAGTTCCTGTTTGCATTATGTTATTGTGGCTTACTGAAGCAATTGCTTCTGATGTTATGTAGAGTAACTTTTAATTCTTCAGAAACTGATAGCTTCTGTCCCAAGATTTTACTGGAGTACTGTAGTTACATTTCCTTAAGTTTCAAATGCTTCTGTATATAGACTATCGATAATGGAGATAATGTGATCAAGTTGACCAAACATACAGATAACTGGTAGTATCAGTGGCATAGAAAAACTACATTCAGCCTAGTTTCTGTGGACACAGAAGAGTACTAGGAAGGGTTTTTTGATACTTACTACTAATCTGAAATCTAACTCCTGTCAGTTTCCCTCTCACGGCTTACCTAGTGATATATTTGCCTGAACTACTTCATACTGAATTGCAACCAGTGCAAACTTTGCACAGAAAAGGATGTCACAGTAGCAAAAGAAATGATGTCTTAAGACTACTTGAACTCTCTGAATATTGGAGCAGTTATCAGCTACTGTCCTCTGTCAAGCATGTCTGCCTGTCTCTCCTTTGTTCTGCTGTAAAATAGTCCTTAGATAATACAGAACAAGGAAATACTCCAAATGGTATCCTGATCTGCATTAAGGCCAAATCTATGATTTACTGGTACTACTTTCAGGCCTTATTAATTTTAAACCCCTCAAATATTTCTGGTAACTCTTCCTGTTGAGAGATGCATGTTTGGTCATGTTTGTTTTTTTGTTTTTTAACCTCTTGATATTAATTCAGTGCCTTCAAAGATTGTCAAACCACAGGCGACTGGACCTTTGCAGTGAAAAAGATGCAAGGAACTGCTGTATTAGAGCATTATCAGCATAAAAAGCAATCAAATAACTAATGAAATACAAAGTTGGCTTTGGAGAGCAGGGCAGGTGTGTTTGAGAACAGTGTCTCAATGAGATATGTAAGGTGAAAATTGCAGTACATAGAAGTTTTCTTTAACTAAGAAATCATTAGCTTTCTGAGCTCATTTGAAAATTAGTTTTTAGCCTCAGAATAGCAAGGAAATAAGAAACGAGTTACATCTTTCTCTGGTGCTATCAGTGTATTTCTTTGATGTGCTGTTAAGCTTAAAAATCCACTTCAATGAGTGAATTTGTAAAGCATCAGTATTTCTGAAAAAAGTTAAAGGCTTGTATTTTTAGGCTTTCCAAAATATTTATTATGTTTATGATGATATTGAAGGGATCTAGTGGATACTTAGTGGTTTCTGTATGATTTTCTACTTGATACTTATGTACTAATTCAACTAAAAATGTAGTTTTTGAAGACTCTGTGGTCGATCACACTAGAACGAACACTTGCTGTTAATCAAAAAGCGCTGATAGCATTTCCAGGATTCACAATAGAAGTTTATAGGTAAAATATGTAGATAATGTAATTAATTTTCTTAAGCAGAATTTTGTATGTAAATAATATATGTAAGTATAATAATATATGTAAGTAATATATTTATATAACGTGATGATCTACATTTGCACAAATTTAAGTTATATACTGTACTATTTCCTTTTTTCACAGGGTGTAACACTGACAGATCTTCAAGAAGCTGAAAAAACTATAGGAAGAAGTCGTTCCACACGAACCAGAGAACAAGAAAATGAAGAGAAAGAAAAGGAAGAGAAAGAAAAGCAAGACAAAGAAAAACAAGAAGAAAAGAAAGAATCTGAAACTAAAGATGATGATTATAGACAAAGATATTCCCGAACTGTTGAAGAGGTATTTTCATGATGAGTCTCATTAGGTAGAGAAATTACGTGAATCTTAATTCCAGCAATAATACTACAATTTTGATATTACCACAGTTATTTGTTTTCATTTAAAAGCTTGAATATCCTATACTTTACGTTTGTTTAATGCTTGTAAATTAATTTTGACATTTTTCTGTTGAATAGCCATATCATCGCTATAGACCAACTTCAACTTCGACTTCTTCATCATCCACCTCTTCGCTCTCCACCTCCACTAGCTCTCTTTCAAGTTCAAGTCAGCTAAACAGACCAAACAGCCTTATAGGTATAACTTCTGCCTATTCTCGGAGTGGAACAAAGGAAAGTGAGAGAGGTAGGAGTATTAACATTTGTGAAGGGTTTTTTTGTTGTTGTTTTTAATTGCCAAGTTTATGTTTCTAAAGACTGTTCAAAATGCGGTGTGATTTGTGGACCACTGGGTGATACACGCTGCTCCTACTTCTGCAAGAAACTCCAAAACCTGTAAATAGAGAGGAGAAAAAAGACTTTCAGGACTTGGTGGTGTTTTTTAGTATTTTGTTATGTGAGTCTGGGTTGATTTCTGCTTTTGCTCAGCAACTGTAATAAAATACTACAATTCAGAGTTTAAATATATGCAGTTATTGAGGAGGAATTGTTCTTGATTAAATAATTTCTAAATAATTTGGGTTTTGTTTTAGTTTTATAGTGTGAGAGTGGAGCAGTGCTGTAATGCTTTCAGAAAACGAACTATTTAATGCTCATCTGAAAACAGAGGAGAGAGGAAGGATACCTCTGGTGGTGGTGTGGTGTTAGTTAATAATACTGAACTATTCTTCTAGATATCTGACTGGTTTATAAAATCTTACACTGATGCTTGATTCAGAGATAGAAGGATGCTTTTATTTGATGTCACAGAGCTTTTGCCCAAAGCTTTTTTCAGATGTGAATAGTCTGTTAGAATTCTATTTCTGGAAAATTATGCTCAGTTGTCAAAGGAGGAGGCTGTTGACACACATTGTGATCTCCTGTTCTCTCTCAGGGGTGTGTCACTAATAACTTGGGAGAGATACTTTAACACAAGCTATTGATTAGGTATGCAGTTACCGACTGAAATTGGTATTTTTGTTATAAAGAGGATCAGATCAAGTAATTTATTGATAAAATCTTCATGAACTATGTAGCAGTATTGCTATATTCTCAACATTTGTATTTTCTGAAGAAGTTATTATGACTAAGCTTTATTGATAAGTTTTCTGATTTTTCCTCTCTGTCCTAAAATTAACTGAAATTTGGAATAAGATTTTTAAGTAATGCATATGCATGCTTACTTCAAGCAATTTTTTCTGGACTGTTTTATGGAAAGCATTTTCATGGCTAAGTGCTAGCTACAGCAGGTTTTTTTTTTTCAAATTATGATTTTAGGAGGAGAAATACATTACTGTCTGAAAGACCAAAGGTAAAATCATCATTTATTTAATTAGGAAAAGTCTGTGTTCTCCGTGAATACTTACATTTACTTCATTTTTTAATTCTTGCTTCATGCTGAAGTTTTCATTTACCTCTGAAGAGCAATTATGGTACAGTTAGATTAGTAGGGATGCATCAATCTGAACTCAACTCTTTGGTTTATTTCTAATAAAAGAATAGCAAACTGAACAAACATCGTAACAGGTAAATAACTTCAATTTTGGCAGGTCTGTTTTATTTGTTTATTTTCTTTTTGTGCAACTTGCTTCTAAACATAAAGGTGATCAAGCACTCCTGAGGTGTTATGCCTGTTTTAAACTGCAGTTGCATTTCATTTAAAGAAAAGGGAAGTCTGTAACATAGAATTAATTTAATCTTGGAGTTCTAATCTTCCTTAAGTGGGAAAATGAAGAGAACTGTGATGGAAAAGGAAATTCTAAGGAGAACTTAAAAGACTTTTGAATTTTTCTTAAATGCGGAATTTTTGATAAAAGCAAAAAGTATTATTTGAAAAATAGTGTGAGGAATAATCTCCTACTGCTCTTTGCAACTACTGGCATAAATTTGAATTATTAGGTGAGAGATTTGAGAATTGCTTTTTTAAGTGTCTTACTGTTACACTAAAACATTTTGTTCAGGAGGCTGAGGTAGAGTTAGTACTTTGCCATTGCTGTTCAACAGTTGGAACTGTGTTTATTTTAGAGCCGTGTTCTGAGGAATTTATATTACAGCAAACCCTGTTTATGGTAAGAAGCTCTATAGCAAACTTATTTCAGGTGCAAACATTACCCAGGTTCTTTTCAGCTGTGTCCAGCAACAGAACTGGGGGCAATAGGTGCAAAGTGGAACGCAGGAAACTCCATACAAACACGAGGAAAATTTCCTTGAGGGTGACAGAGCGCTGGCACAAACTGCCCAGTGGGGTGTTGGAGTCTCCTTCTCTGGAGTGGATGTTTTTCTGTACAACCTGCTTGTAGGGAACCTGATTTAGCTGGAGGTTGAACTAGATGATGTCCAGAGGTCCCTTCCAACTCCTGCTATTAGGCGATCGTGTGATTATCTGTAAACATTTTAGAGACTAAGAAATATTTCAGTAACTTTTCAGAAAATAGTGTTATACTTAAATGAACAAGAAGTTATTATTAACAGAAGGGGGCAAAAAAGAGGAAGAAAAAGAAGAAGATAAGTCACAGCCCAAATCTATACGGGAAAGGCGGCGACCAAGAGAAAAACGACGATCTACAGGAGTTTCATTTTGGACTCAAGATGTAAGTGAAAGACTGCTACTTCTGGTTTGTAGCCATGCATTCTTATCTGTTTTGAAGCTTTTAGGAACAAATTAAATACAAAGTCTTAAGTTATGCTGATAGTGCTGAAATAAATTCTAGACTACTGTAATAATTCTAATGTTAATCATAATCTTAAGAAAAAAAAAAATTGAGCAATTATTTTCTATTGCATGCAAACCAAAGCAACGAGAATGAGATTCACTATCTAGCATGTTACAAGTAGCTAAATTTGAACTGTGTTTACTAAAACCTGAATGAACCATTGTAAGATCTCAAAGGGTATGGTCAGTTTTTCAGCAGATTCTCTTGCCCTTTCATTTGTCATGGGATTGGTATTTTTGTAAAAGGAATATTTTTATGTGTCAAATGCAAAGTTCTGATTCCTTTCCCGGTAGTACTGAAAATAATTATTGTTTGAGAATTCTAATCTTATATCCCAGATATGTTTTGTAGATTTTAGATAGGTAGAATTCTACCACTCGTAGCTTTTGATACAAAAAATCTAGAATACATTACAGTTTCATAAAGCTTAACTATTTTTCCTTTCTCACCTCTTTGACCAGAGTGATGAAAATGAACAAGAGCACCAGTCTGATTCAGAAGAAGGAACAAATAAGAAAGAAACTCAGGTAATTAAAAAAATATGTATTGACTTATTAACAGATATATTATGACTGTAAAATTTCTGTTGCAGTTGGATTCAATTAGAGCAATGCACACGTTGGAGTTCTAATACTTACTGTCTGATTCATAACTTGATGTCGTGTTTCAGTGACATTTTTTTTGCAGGTTTAATTTGGCTAATGTGGAATTAGTACCCAGGAAGTATTGGTGAAATTTCAGACATACATGTCAGGGAGATGCTGCAGCAAGTAACTGGAGGAAATTTTTTGCTTCTAAATTGCAAATATCTTTGTTTCATCATTTTTTATTTCCAGTGAAATGATGTCCTGTGTCTCTTGCACACTAATCTGAACTTTTTTACATTTAAATTTTGAAATTTAAAGTAAAAAGGGGTGTTGAAAATGTAATTGAGATGTAATATGAGAAAAACTGTTGAAGAGCACAGTTTTTTCTGCGCTGAAGAATTTCTGAGCATCCTAACTCAGTACTGTCAGTTTTTTGTTAAAAAGGCAGTGGCAAGCAGTACAATAAGCTTGATTTAATGGAAAAAATCCTTATAAACTCATTTGTGCATAAGAATAGGATAAAGAGAACTAAAAGGGAAGTTCTGACTTAGTCTGTACAATTAAATGGTGTAGCAGACTGTATTTATTTTTTTTTTTACCTAATCCTGAAGGAATACTAGAGAATTAGGGTCATTATTTGAGTAATAAAACTCAAAAGGTATAACTGATTTCTCCCATCAGTACTTGTTGTTAGATCTGTAATTACTATATATGTAATTATTCCATCTTCTACTCTGTAGAAATTTCGTTTTGGTACAATGTAATGCTTGTAGTAGAACTCTATAAAACCACAATGAAATTTGGTCAAACGGGCCTAGAATTACAAGTGTGGTCTGTGTTAAAAAGGATGAGCGTGTGGGGGTGGAGTAGTGAAGATTGTAGAATTTGCTGCCTAATTCATGGCTTGTCGTAGAAGTGTAGCACAAAATCTGTTTCCAAATTGTGAGCATTCCCTAAGCCTGCATATGCTTTTTCAAAAAGGTATTGGTTGTTTGGTAATGTATTACCAGATCTGAGTTCATAGAGAGTTCTGAAATATGTATAAATATGTGAACCAAGCTCATGTCACCTGACTACACAGATTCATTTTGTTATTATTAATAAAAGCTCCTTGCCAGACCAGCTGTAGAAAGTAGGAAAACAGTGAAAATGAGTTAAAAAACAAAGTGAGTAATAAGGTGTTTTTAACAGGTTTGTTCATGAACACTGTTGAACCTACTGAATTTCCAGTCTAGTAGCAAAACTGTAGAGAAAATTCTAACCTTCTATTACTTTCTGGTTAACTAAGAGACATCTTAAAATTTCTATACAGTAATTGCAGTGTTTTCATATTGAGGTGTGATTTTTTTTTTCCTTTGCATACAGCTTATAAGAGATTTAAAACATAATTTAAAACGTTATTAGCTTTCCTTGATGAAAAACTATTTAGAGTTTTTCAGTGATAAACTAAGAACTGGATGCATTACTTCTGATGTGCAGTATTTTGCCATTTGTAGAAAAAGGAAATGGAATATAGACTGAGCATTATAATGGCAATCTCTTCCCAATTCAGTGACAAAAAGTATTTTATTTTACAGAAATTGCAAATCCTTTCTGTGGTTGCTAAATCTACTTCAGCTTGGCACGCATCTTGCACAGCTTATTGTAGAAAATTCATCATTATTTGCTGATAGACCCTTTTCAATTTTGAGAAAAGAGGTGGAATAAACTAGAATTACAAAGGAGTACTAACATTCAGAAAATACATTGACTATTTGATGTACTGCTCAGAAGACAGAAGCCTCTAAGAAATACTGAAGTTCTCTGTTAACTCCCTTCTGTGGTTCCGCTGTTGAGTTCTTTTTGCTTGGAGAAGCTACAAGTCAGTGGTAGGAGATGGTTAACTACAAATTTCCAAGAGTTTTGGCAATAATTCAAGAATTCATAGGTCAAGAACAAGCCTTGTACATGCTATAAAGAAAATTAAAGGCCATAGACAAAATAATTTCCAGCTTGAAATCCTTCTAGAACCTGACAAATGCTATTTATTTCAGAGTGTTTTGAAAGAGATTTCAGTTTGTGCATTCTTGCTCCCTATACAGAATTGTCATTCAATTTCTTAGTTGATCATTTGACCATAGGGGAGAACTATTAAAAAGCAGTCAAATTTTGCTAACACTGTGACAGTTGGTGGTGGTTGTAATTAAATTTTATTTGGGATTTTAGGTGCAAAGAGCTGAGACTGCCACGGTGCTTTCCCATTATTGTTAAACATGCCTGAACAGTGCAATTAGTTGTTTGCTGGTGGAAGAGGAAGATGTATTTAGATTGCAGATTGAAGTTTTGTTGATGTAGCCTTCAAGAATTAGTGTACTATTTTCCTTCTTGATAATTAGATTTCACTTTGATTAGAGCTTGGTCTGTGTGTTAAGATTCACAAGTTTTCTTTGCTTTTAGAAGTTATTTGGGTTAGCTATTTGGCCTTAAGCAAAAATAGTTCAAAGTATGAATATGTGATTAAAGTCTGATTTAACAGTGGAATGTTGACCAGACAGACCAACAAAAAAAAAAGGACTCAAGGTATAACAGAGTTACCAAGTCTTTTGATAATGAGGAAGGTGTGGTATTTGCTATTCTGATAAAAATTGTATTCCCCATATTACATCAGATGACTCATTATATCATTCTATTCCAGCCATTTTTGTTCATGGAAATCTGGCTGCTGTATTGAAACTGGTGCCCTTTATTCCCTCTATGGCACAGTAAGAGATAATGAAAGAAAAATTAAAAAAAGGAACTTGTATGAGGCAAGGAAAATGAGGTGGAATTTAAGCACACAAAATATTATCAAGGATATTTGAGAGTTAAGCATTTCATTACAAGAGCATTTGCAGGGGACATAATATGGAATATATGTGGTGAATGAGAAATTACTTCTGCTTGACCAGGGGATCAGACTGGGAAGAGGGTAAAGAAATAATCTGTTCAGGAACGGGCAAGAGAGAAGCATCAAATGGCAATGATTCAAATTTTATTGCTTTTATTAGCAGTTTGTCCTTCTTTCATTAGCACTGAAGCTTGGAGTGCACTTGAACTATACTCAGGAGGACACCTATAGAAGTGGGAAGGGTGGAGGCAGAGTAAAAAAGCCAGAAGACAGCAAAACAACATCCCACCCCACCCCGGATGATGTATTTAAAAAAAATAAGAATTTAAGTATGCACTACAACTGGTTAGTTTGTTATTAAATTGACTTAATTTTGTTTCATGATTTTTGAAAGGTGAAAGCCAGCAATGTTAGGATAATAAATATTGTTAACTTTTCTAATTCTGTGGCAGTAGAATCAAGAGCATGTCATTATTAGTATCGATTAAATGCTGCACTCAAATTTTATTCTTCATTTTCATGGCTATGGCAGTTTTACAAAACCATTCAATTATACACTATGTATAATACCACCTGACTCAAATATTTCATTTCCATTACCAGTAATTACCCTAACTCACCAAAATGTTGTATGAATATCTGAAAGCTTACTGTACATTTTCGAATACATGGTTATTCAGTGGTTGCACTCTTACGGTCTATAGAAATTGCTTGTATACGATTAGAAGTGTATTATTTCAACTTGTATACATGAGGATCCATATGTTTGTATTTTTCCTTCCTTCTGGTGTGTTGCTCGTGGAACTTTGGCTACCACAGTCTGCTCAGTTTTGTGAATGTTTTAGGAGTATCCATCTCATGTGGTTTGGATGTAGAGGGATATGGTGTTCGCTTTACTTTTCCTCAGACAATCTTCATACAAAATCTACAGACTTCTAGTTAAATTTTTTTTGCCAAAAAAAGATTGAAAAATACGAAAAATTGTGACCAAACTGACAGAAATTGAAGGGGAAAAAAAGAAAAGTAAGAACACCTCAAAAAATAACAGACAGTTTCTGAAAAGTCAGGAGACAAGAGCAGGCATGTGCTTAAGACATGAACTCCTCATCCTGGCTGCTGCTCCAGCCCTCCAGCTGCAGGACTCACAGCTCCCAGGAAGCGGAAGCTGCTGAGGCTTCTCTGCAGGCTGTGAGATCAGGCCATGCTGCTCTGCATCCCAGCCTGGAGAATAGGAAAGGGCTGGGTTATTGCTTTCCCGTCTCTGGCAAATTAAGTGCTTCCCTGTATCCAGGACTCTTACCTCACCAGCTCTTTTGTTATCTCCCTGCATAGCTGGAAATTTGTGTTCTGCATATGACTTAATAACTTGCTTTCCGTTCAGGAAGCTGCACTGCAGCAGGTTAATGGAAAGCCTGGAGGTTTTCCCACAGCATCACAGGGAGCCCACTAGAAGCAAAGAAAAGCAGGCTTTAGAACCCTATTTGTTAAGAAATAACGTAGGAATGGTTTAATTTCTTGTGATAGCTGATTTAGCCAAAGGCTAGAAGGGGCTTGCTTAGCATTTTCATTTGGGTGGCGTTCCTTCAAGGTAAAAAGAGAATTCTAGTTCTTATGGACAAAGGTTCCTCTGTTTTGTTGAAGTGAGAAAGAAGGAGCAAGCAGTGGGAAGGGGTTTTTGTGGACATTGATGACATGGTAGAATTCTGTGATCTCGCATGGATCTTACTTAATCATAAGATATGCAAAATAAGATTCATAGGTGGAAAATAAAACTGTTGTGGCCCAAAGCTTAAAAACTAAAAATATGTATCTGTGTGACACCTAGCTGTGATGTTTTCTACAAAACTCCCTTAAATTCTCAACATTATCCATGCTCCCAAAGAAAACAGCATTATCGTGATATGAAAGGCTGCACATACTTTTGGTAGCCTGTGTGTTGTAAGTCCTCTTCAAGGCATCAAAGGGAAAATTTAACATGTTATGGATAATGTAACTAATGTCTTCTATGCAGATTCTAAAAAATGCAGCCCCTTCTTAAAAGAAAAGCAACCTCTGTATCCAAGCACCACCCCCTTTCCCCCCCACCCCCCCCAGAAAAAAATCATCACTGATTACGACTTCAGCCATTGCTAAGTGAACATCATTGCAGGATGTCCGGAGGATTATTTCTGGAGTAAAATATGTTCACTCAAGATTATTATAATAATTGGAATAAATGATGAGTCTGTATTGACTACCCAGAGGGGGAGAAGGATTGTATGGGTGATGTAATGCTTAGGGGACACTCCTTCGCTCTTAAGTCATCACTTTTAATTAAATTTCACTCATCAGGTAAAGTGAGTATGCTGTATGCCTGCAAGTTCACTTGTAATGAATGAATTAATTAAAGTAACATGAAAGTATTTCTGTATGTTGTTGGTTTAATAGCTAGTCATCTCCCGTTGAGGGATGCTGAAGCAATGATCTTGTAGCTTATATTTTTATTTTAAGCTGAAGTCATTATTAAGAGGACTTTCCAAAAACAGAATACAGAAGAGGAAGAGAGAATTCAGGGAACATGGTTCTGATGCTGTTGATAAGAGGAGGAAATCTTGGAAGGCACATCTGTCTCTTTGGTTCCAGACCTAACAATATTGAAACTTGACAATACTACAATATATAGTGCTGGACAGTATATGCACTTTGATGTAACTGTTTAGTTATGTTTGTTCACAGGTTATTATATATTTTATTTAATTAAATTATTGACTTGATCTTTTTTTCTTCTCTCTTTTTTCTCCTCCCCCTCTCAGAGTGATAGCCTTTCAAGGTATGTGCAATTTAAGTGAATTAATTTAAAATTATTACACTTCTTAGTCACATATTCTCAATTGATGTGTAAAATTAGCCTAAACTCAGTAGTGAGTTGGGTTGATTTTAAAAGGCAATAATGATATTTAAAATTTATATGGAATATGATTGTAAAGCTACAGTACTTTTTTCGTGGCTCTTTTCCCATTTGTGGGTGGGATTGTCAATAGTGGAGAATGTATTGGATGCTGTATTTGAAGTACATGAAGGCAGGTGAGGCATTTTGTAGAATTTAGTGGATACAGTAACATTCCCTACAAATTTTTAAGCATGAGGTCAGCTTTTGCCAAAAGAAAACACAGAATATCCTACTGAAAAAATTTCAGGAAAAATACTAGAGCCTCTGAAAATTATATTTCCTTAAGATTTGTTAAAAAGGAAAAAATGCACAAGTATCAATATATATATTTTTTAAGTTTGCATTCGACTTTGGACCTTTAGAATTAATTAATGATGTTTTGTTTATGCTGAAAATCTGTCAAACAGAACTACTACAGCACATGAACGATGACGAGTGAGCACTATGAAGCTGCTCAAAACTGTATTAATATTATTTGTAATTTAGTGCTTAATAGGGTAAGGATTTTGCTGAAGATTTGTTTCATAAACTGCTTTTGTTGAAATATTAGAATTTGCAATAAGTAGTTTTGAAATCTTCATTTATCCAATAAAGCTTGGAAAATTCATCTTGGCCAATGTTTTAGAGATTACTTTTTAAAAACCCTTCAATTAAAGTACTACATTTAAGGTAGTACATGAATTAAAGTGCTCCTTGCCAGGAGTTGGACATGATGATCCTTGTGGGATCTTTTCCAATGCCAAATACTCTGTGATTCTATTACACATTTTTTAAAATAGACCTTCAAAAACCAAGTAGTATCTAAACCAGTAAGTCTTTCAAGACATGGCAACACCTCAATTAAATATTTTAATTTACTTTTTTTAAAATTCTCAGCATAAAATGCTGGCATTTACTTGGACTAGTTGGGAATTCTTAAACGTCTTCACGGAGAGAATATTGAAATATACTGAAGAACAGTAGAGGGACATCAAAATCTAACTTGCATCAAGTTAGTTTACAGTGGCTTAACTGAAACACATAATTGCATGTGTCTGGTTTTTTTTCACTTGGATGATGGCACGCTTACAGTATCTGGTACAGTGAGTGCTGTCAGTCTGAATAAAAACAAAGAATAAGAACATTTATGTTGCAGGTATGACACGGGATCACTCAGTGTGTCTTCGGGTGATCGTTACGATTCAGCACAGGGGCGATCTGGGTCACAGAGTTACCTCGAAGATCGAAAACCTTACTGCAGTAGACTAGAAAAAGAAGATAGCACTGATTTTAAGAAGGTAACTGATACAGAAATTTTGTTGTAAAAAATGCTTTATTACTGTTTGTCCTCTTTTTTTTTTTTTTTCATGAATTATTTGGAAAGAGTCTCCTATTGCATCACAACTTCCAGCAGCTTGGCTCAGTGGAGGAGCAGAACAACCACTGCCATGGGGGGAAATACACATTACAAAACAGCCTGTGGCTTTTGCACTTTTCTCCATAGGCGAGGAAGAAATCCTGAGGAGTCAAAATACTTCATCATTTTATGACAAATTTGATCAAACTGTTTTTGTAGTTGATTGTATTATTAAAACTGCTTCATACATGCATTAAGCCTTTATTTGATGTTTGCTATCATACATACAAAAATTCGTTTAAATCTTGCTTTAAAATTGGAGTTTGTAAAAAAAAAAAAAAAAAAAAGAAAGAAAGAAAGAAAAGAAAAAAGGACTCTGTTGTCTCATCTGTAGTGTCTGAAGCAAAAAATTGGCAAGTGTTTTTTAATGCTCCCTGTGCAAAATTGCTTTCTTCTAGAGATATTTGGTAGCAATTCTTTACAGCGTTTGCTAATTCTAACCATCTAAAACTGATTTTTACTTCTTAGACTGTTAATGTATTTGTTCATTTTACATGCAGCTCAGTCATGGTTTTTAAAATGCTTGTCTAATGTCACTGAATTCTTACTCAGTATGTTTTTAAATGAATATTTTGTCTTAGCTTTATGAACAGATCCTAGCTGAAAATGAGAAGCTGAAAGCACAGTTACATGATACCAACATGGAACTTACAGATCTTAAACTACAGCTGGAGAAGACCACTCAGGTTTGTATTAAACAAAAAGGCCCATACTTAGCTGACAAAGCAAACTAGAAGCATCCTAGCATAGGGGCTGCTATTTACTAGGCATCAGCTTTGTTTCTTATCCAAAGATGGGAGTGAAGAAATGTACCTCTCTGTTTATAAAGAGAAAAGAGTGCAGGATTATAGTCTTCAGCTCTGAACAAAATGTTTGAGGCCATTTCCTGCTTGTTTAATTGCTGGTGGTTCTTGCCAGCACGTATGTGGGACTTCTGTGCAGGTAGGAATAAACACTTTGAACACTGCTAAGCCTGTGTTCAAACTGTCAGTCTGATTTCATTGATTAATTCATACACCTACTGGCAGGTTGGCATAATCTGCCAGTTCTTCCTACCTAGGTAAACAGCTGTACCTGAGAGCTGAAGAGCAAATAGTGCACTTCATTTACAGGTAACTGCTGTCAGATAACAGTGCTGCATAAGGTAACACCAAATATGTACACAAAACTGAAATTCTTCTTAAATTGCTGTAGAAAGAATGTTCCTCATTCTCAGATCACATTTGCCACAACTGACCTGTGTACATATTTCAGTGTCTTCCATATGCTCTCTGTAAATATCAGTAAAGTGTGAGTAAGAAGATGTTTGTTTTGTAGAGCTTTTAAATAGAAAAAGCTAAATTACTACTATTTGCCAAAGGCTACACAGAGATTAAGTTACTTAGGGATGGTGACACAGGAAGCTTGTGATAAATCCAGCTCATTCTTCTTTAGTTTTTATTTCAGTGGTACTTCCTTGAACACATTTTAAAGTGCTTTTAAAAGCATACTTTGAACAGAATGCAGTAGCAGTTACCCTTATCTGAAATGCGTTTTATATTGCCATTCCTCACTGTTGCACTGTTTGAGAACAAGTAACAATATCTTCATTAATTTTGTGTTTCAGAGACAAGAAAGATTTGCTGACAGATCGCTCCTGGAAATGGAGAAAAGGGTGAGTTACTGCCAAACATCTCTTGAGTAGTTCGATTTGGGTTTTGTTTTAGTTTGCTTTGCAACCTCTGACTTGAATATATTTCAGTGGGAACAGAAGCCTTTCTTATAACTTGCATTTTTTAGAAGACTGGGGGATTGTAGGTTTCAGAGTAGCAATGAATACGAAGGACTGTCAGATGGAATTACTCTTAAGAATTGCCTTCAGATTGCCTTGTTGATAACCAGGTTGTAAACCCCACTGCCCTCCAGGATTCTGCAGCTTGTTCCATCTCGTCCAAAACAGTGTTGGCACTCCAGAGAGTTAAGCACTTTCAGAGCATCTCATCTTTTAGTGCATTTCCAACATTCAGAGCCCTTAATTTCCTCAGAGCTTTCTGGAGGCATGTGCATCGTCTTACCAATTCTCATCGGTAATGAAGTAGCTGTTTCTATCCCACAGACATCAGACTTTGAACCTGCTAATGTTATAAAACTAATTACAGACTTTCCTTGTACTGTACCTTTTTCTAGAGGGACTATCATGCTGTGTACGAGCAGGGTGGAGGCAAATGAATGAGCAGTGCAGGAAGAGGGGCATTAGAGAGAGACAGCCCTGACTTGATGGGGAAAGGAGACATGTAATAAATCCACATATGAGACAGACTGCAGGGATTATTTCAGTAGTTGTGCCCATTATAATTTTAGGCTGTAGTTTTACACTCGTTTAAAACCCATCCCAATAAAAGTTTATTTCAGCAACAATTTAAAGCAAAGCAAAGTTTGTTCTGATGTGGTCCTGGCTTCCTTTATGTCCTTGGCTACACGTACCTTTCTCCTTCCTGATCCTGGAGTGACGTGTTAGATATTAAAATGGGAAGAAAACTAAATGGACATTGATGGTAGTAAGTGGTATGGTATATATTTACTTATTCCTAGTAAGCTTGACATTTACTAGCCCTGTACGTTTACTTTCCAGTGTCTGAGGTTTAGAAAACAAGTTTTAGTTCTACAAACCTATGAGGTACATAAATACTCAGTTTTATTGGAGAACATAAAGATGCACAAATCCTCTCAGGCAGTTTGTGAAGTTCCATTAGTTTTATCTTAATAATCTCTCCAGATAATTGAAGCAACCTTTTAGTGCCTATTTCTGCTTGTTCTTGTGGCCCTGTGCTGTAGGCAGTGATTTCATCAGTAAAAAACTTTCATCAGCAGCTTTAATTGGTTTCTTGCTTGCTATCATGGCCACACAAGTGGACATTTAATTATTTCATAGGTTTGACTTTGACTGTATGCATTATTACACAGATGCCACATCCAGTATTGCACATCTTGACGTTATTTCAGTATTAAATCACTGTGCTGCTTGTTCCTCAGACATGCCATTGTGTTAAGACAAGTGGCTATTTTGGCAATTCTTGCACCTTTTTCCCGTAGTAATGCTTAGTTCAGTAGCAGAAACGTCCTTTGGAAATGTTACTTGTTCTGAAGTTATCACGACCGAACCTAGCAGTTAAAAAGGTAAATAAAATTAGTGATAGTGCTGTATGGCTGAAACCTGATCTACACAAGATTTAGGAGATCTTCTTCTATTTTATGATGTTCGATTTACTTCTTGTCAGGCAATAATTTTGAACAGGAATTTATTTGTGATTCTGTTTTCCCCATTAGATCCAGAGTTACTTTCACTTTGACAGTGATTGAAGTAGGATTCTCAGCTGCTAGTCATAACTAGCTGAGGTCTAGAAGTAAGCTTACTAACTGTGGGGCTTTAGGAATAATTTAAAGAAGTCTTCTTTATATGGGTGAAGTAATAGTATAAATGAGAAAGGTTTAAAAACAAACTGTAGAAATTTTCTAAGTATAATTTTCCAAGTATGACTTGAATAAAATAAAACAAAATTGAAGATACTGACGTAAGTTCATAGAAGAAAAAGGGAGGACAAAAGTAAAGTAGCAAGAACAGATGAGGAGAAATAGAAGGCTGGCAGAGAAAAACCTGACAGCATCTTTGAACTACAGTGTATTCCAGTTGTGAAATACTTTTACAGTAAAGAAGGTGGGAATGCTTATAAAACCTAGAAGTTCACTGTGACAGAATTCAGAAAATATAAATTTAAAACCTTCATCAGTTGATTTCTACTATGTGTTTTGGTTATGCACAGTCAACGTTTGTCATTTAAGGACTAGCAGTATGTTCTTAGGCAAAAATTTGGCTTTTGTTAACAGTTATCTATCACTCTGAAAAGTATATTAAAACCCATACTGCAGGATTTCAGTATGGATCAGAATTGTGGGCACCTTTAACCAGTTAGCTCCAAATTCATTGTGGATGCCCTGTCCCTGGAGGTGTTCAAGGCCAGGCTGGAAGGGGCCCTGCGCAGCCTGGTCTAGCATTAAATGCAGGGGTTGGTGGCCCTGCATGTGGCAGGGGCTTGGAGATTCATCATCCTTGAGCTCCTTTCCAACCCAGGCTGTTCATGATTCATCATCTAAGAATTTGTGATGGGATGAGGTGGGCTTTTTCATTTGTTTATTACTGAATTTTTTAACCTGTATATATCCACGTACCTCAGTCTTATTGCACCGACTGTGGTTTCTGGTTGCTTTAATACGTGGCAGTGAGCTGTTGTCTTTTATACACTCAGAAACTGCCACGTGTTTTTTTCTTCGTCTTGAGAATTACAAATGCTTTTTGTCGTGCCTTAGAGAAATGTTGAAATATGAAACATCTTAGGCTGAGTAAATTTCAAAGCCTTTCTCTGAGTTCAGAGACTAATCAGACGATATTGGCAAATCTTCTCCGTGAAACTGAATGTCCTTTGCTGGCCACTTCCTGAAATAGCAAGCAGTTCAGGAAAAAAGGAAGGATGTTTTTTCACACAGGGTGGTGATGCACTGGAACAGGTTGCCCAAGGAGGCTGTGGATGCCCCATCCCTGGAGGCATTTGAGGCCAGGCTGGATGTGGCTCTGGGCAGCCTGGTCTGCTGGTTGGTGACCCTGCACATAGCAGAGGGTTGAAACTGGATGATCATGTGGTCCTTTTCAACCCAGCCCATTCTATCATTCTATGAAAAAAGGAACATAGTTTCATCTAATTAGAACTGTATGTTTTTTACAACAAATCTTATATCTAGTCCAGTCCATTTAAATGTTTATTTTATATAATGTGAGGCATGCAAAGGTGATGAAATAAGGATTTTGTTTAACTGGCTTTTACTGCAAGTAGTTATTCTTAAACAAGTTCAACAAGCAAGTTAAGCAAATTCATCCAAAGGACTAAGGATTTTTAGCCATCTGAAATTGTAAGATTATTTGATCCGTGATTCATCTCTTGATAATTACAGAAATTGCCCAATATTGCTTATTGTAACAGCACTGATAATATATGTTCTCCTGCAAAACTTCTGGGTAAACTAAGGTTCTAATTAATGTAAAATGGTGTGAGTTTTTTTGTTAGTCACTTGTTTGCTGCAGTTAACTCACTGATATTTATTATGCCATTATTGTCAGTCAGTATCATTATGGCAAAATTAGTTACTTGAAGGAGTAAAGTACCTTAAGTACTAACAACTGCAGTAATCTGTTATATTGATAAACCTTTGGAATTGTTTGCTAAAATGGGAAAATGTTGGGGAATAACTGCACTATGATTAAACTAAATTCAAATGATTTGTATCTGAAAGGTGTCCGGCAAGAGTCAGTATCTACTGGGCGGTATGATCTAACCAAAGTTTTACACACCTCAGTCAATGCTGCTTGCTGTTTGCATAACACCATTGTATGCAGATGCATATGTACACCTTGCAATAATCTGTTGCTTTTGCCTTTCACACTTTGGAAAAAATATGAATGTAGAATACTGAATAACCGCAACTGCTTTTAAACAAGATACACTGCGATGTCTGACACAGGAAAGCAAGCAAGCTATAAACCCCTGAAGTCTACTGCAGTAGCTGTTGATCTGTCAAATGTGTGAAAACAAGGTTTAAACAAAACAGTAGTGCTTAGAAACATGGTAGTGTATCTGCACTGCAGACTGCAGCATAGTATAGAAAACCATCAGCTAATTTTCAGTAAGCTACCTTGGGTACTTAAATGAGAACTTGACATTCTTGACAAAGGCTAATTTCTCCTGCTTCTCAAGTAAGAAGGAAAAAAAAAAACCATACTATACTAGAAACGCAGAAAATACTCAGGAAGCATTTACTGAAGAAGCAGGTGATCTTACATGGCTAGATTTCTTTGGTACTCAGCTGAACTGACGTAAGTTTGGGTTGTATCTACACTACGTTGCAGTTTAGAGTGTAGACAGATCCCACTGAGCTGAGGCAGATGTTTCAGCTACATTTGCTTGTCTTTGAAAGCTTACGCTTTTGTGCTTCTTTCTTTTAATATTCTTGTTTGTTTCTGATCATTTTCTGCATTTCTTGTATATAAAGCTTTTCCAGAAGCCTAGCTTATAAAAATAAAGCCCAAATAAATGGTGCTTATGAGCTGTCTAAATTTATGTAAAGGAAGGGGTATCTTTTGTAGGACTTGATATCTCTTCCTCCTAAGTTATTAAAATGGAGCATTGAAATAGTTTCTATTTATCACTGCCATCACAAGTTTCCTGTCTACACTGTGCTTCTGGTTGTATGATCTTTGAAACTTGAAATATTTCACAGTTATCACAGTATTTACAAGCAGTAATTAGTAAAAAAGGTATTGTTTGGTGTTAACATACATTTTTTTGGATTTAGGAAAGAAGAGCTCTAGAAAGAAGGATATCTGAAATGGAAGAGGAACTGAAAGTAAGTATTGTTGAATGCTAACACCGTGTATTGATGTCAGTGGCTTAAAACAACACTTAATCTAGCAGTATTTCCAGTCTCTATAATTTCAATAGAAAATAAATAAATTATTGGCACATTCAAAGTGAACAATTTCTTTTTTTTTTTTTTTTTTTTTTTTGTAGTGAAGTTTTTCTTGCTGTTATCAGCAGTCATATATGTAGGACTTACCTTCTGGGAGGGTGTTGGGACTTACACTGGTATAGCACATTCACTGATGAGAAGCATTCAGAGATGACGGCAGTGAAACATACCTTGATCTGATCAAGGCAGGATTGCAGTCTTTGTTTTGGATACAATACTGTCATGTTTATTTAGTTAAAAATAATGGTGTATAATTCTGTAGATTAAGCACAGATAATTTCATAGACTAAGCATTAAATGTTGCTTCAATCCTTGTCTCGTGTTCATTAAATTCTGTATTTAGGAAGCGTGTTTCCAGTGTCAGAAGAAAAAAATATATTTATATAGTTAGTAATAATCAGTTTTTAGTGACCAAAAAAGCAGCAGATAATTTAAATTTCAGATTGTAACAGAAAAGCACCATATACCACATGCAGTGAATAATAAAATGTTGTGCTTTGACTTGTCTCATTCCCTAGTTTATCAACATTTTAAGTCCTTTGATATGATCAGAAGTCTGAGAAATCTAGCAAATTTGTTTTGTGTTACATCCTTGGATATAATATTGGACAGAGCCTACCAAGCTGATCAAATTAAGATTCAACTGGAGAACTAGTGGAACATGATGAAAACATCTTTCTTTGCCATAATTTTAAAGAAAAGCCACTGTTTTGAGATTGGAAAGTTGTCATCAATTAAAAAGTTTCCTTTCAGTCTCATTTTTTAGCTCATTTTTGAGCTCCCTCTGGTGCTTGGAAACTGCATTAACTACCAAATCCTTGTCATTAAAACACATGCACTAAGGTTTGTTGATGTAATTGAACCTGACAAGCAGAAGTAAACAGGATTCAGGACAGCTCTAAGGAGAGGATGCAGCATATGAGGTTCTTAGAGGGGTCTTCAGAAGTGAAATCTATATGAAGCATTCTATGGCATAGGAACATAATTGGTTTTATGAGGTGGATGAAGGAGATATGAGCTTCTATTATAGGCCTGTAAATTGTTGGTAGGGATAGTTGGGATACAGAGGAGAATGGAGAATGCAAATGCCTTGTGTTTTTTAAAAGTAACTTCAGTTTGTGAAAGTTTTGAATTAAAGATTAACACTCTTCCTGTTGTTTGTTGCGCTGTCATGTACATAGACATATTAAGTGCAGCATTATTTATTGAGTTTTGAATAGATTTTTATTTATTTATTTATTGTCACAACTACAACATTCAGTAAAGAATTCCCAGGATGACTTTCATTGTCGATGTGTCGTGAGCTGTTCTGGAAAGCTGTGACCGATCACTGCTGGTTCTTAGATTGCTTTTCAGGAATGTGCCACTTGTCTGATGCTTCCCCTTCACAGCAAGTAATCGACTTTAAACAGGACTGTCTCTTCTAAGTTTTCTTTCAGTCCTGCTATCTCTCGTTCTTTTAAACGTAATATGCATGTATGTTTTTTCTTTCTCATTTTCACCTCTATTTCTTTGATTCCCACAGAACCTGCAACAAATAAAGCAGATTCACTCTTTGAGGCACATAAATGAGCGTCTGGTGACTGAGAATAGGGCCTTGACCCGTGTGGTTGCCAAGCTGTCAGGGTCCTGTAGGCAACTGCGTTCTGTGGACTTGTAATTTCTTCCTTCTGCTTTGTGTAGCCAGGCAGGTGCTGACAATAAGTTTGTGCTTGGGTAGAATTGTACTATTAACACCTGTGTGTTGGGGGCTGACTTACTGCTTGGTGATGGAAGTGTGGCTAAAGCATGGTGTCTGGTGTACCAAATGGAGATGCTGCAGCTGTATTGGTATGGTGTGGTGTTGTTGATACTAGCACAGAAGCTTGTTGTTTTTCCCTTGTAGCTAAGCTGGCAAGGGTTCACGAGATCTTTGACGCCTTAACACCCTGGCAACAATCTGAAAGGATTTGTGTGGAGTTTGCATTAGGATACACTGAAGTCACCAGTTAGGAGTTTGAATAAATGCTTAAATCAACAGATTTATCTCTGGTTTTCTAACAAATTGAAGTTAAGAATGGGTCTTTCTTACTGCAGTATAATTCACATGCATAGAACTAAAACAAATCTGCAACTAAAGAAAGTTTGAAAGCTGAAAGTTGAGATTCTGGTGCAGTACCCTGCATTTCTGAACAGCTGCATTAGCAGCTGTATTTTTTACATTTGTCTGATTTTATGTTCAGAGATTGTCGAAGTCTTCCTTTAAAAATACTGACTTGAAAGTCAATTTGTCTTTTCTATACGAAATTCCTGCATGGTGCTGTACAGTCCTTATTTTTATCTTGACTAAGCTTAGAATTTGCAATTGTAGCTCTAATTTGAAGGTTACAGATATATACTGCTACATACGCCGCAGGTGTTCCAGTTATGGACCTATGGTCCTATCATGCAAGGACTAAACAAATGGACACAAAAACACTCTGCCCAGAGTGTTAGATTGGTTTACACTTACTGGGTCATCCTGTCCATTCCCCTTCTGCTAAAGATATGAACTGTTTTAGCTGCCATTTTGGAAAAAACCATGGGTTTATTGCAGTGTTATTGTAGGGCTGTTTGGGAAACCCACTGGAGGTTCACAAATTCTGCATGGAACAGAATATAGTTTCACTCCATGACAAATCTATTAGGCTTTCTTCCTCCTCATACGTAACAGCTGTACAAGGTGGAGATTTCAGTGAGTTTTTAAGATTTGTAGGTGAAGATAAAATCATTTTCCTTCTGCACAGTGATTCTTGCTAATGTGTTTCTCTTTACCTGCCCCTCTTCCCTCTCAGAAGCAAAGAGATGAGTGCACACTTTTCCTTTCTGCTTACGGAGTCAGATCTCAGGTTTTTCCAGTCAGAGGCATGAAATAAATAGCAACTTTATCCTTTGGCTTTATGTCTCCCTGAAGGTGACCTAACAATAGGATGTGGATAGAAAGGTTGATCCTAGTCAGTGCCCTGCATTCCTGCACATTCCCTTGCGTTAACCCTTAGTGAATCAGTCGGCTCTCTGATCTGGCTGAGAAGAAATCCCATTAGTGGTTGTACAGTTTGATCCACCTTACTGCAGCATGGTTGTGTAACTAAAGCTAGCACTCAGCAGCAGGAGCGTGTTGGTGCAGGAGGAGGGGGAACTGTCCCTTTAGGGCAGCCTGTCTTAGACCAGCTTCAGCTAACAACGTGGGTTTTCAACACAGCCAAGCTAATCTAGTGTCAGCTGTCCACAGCCACATGTTCCTACCATGGTATTTTTGCGACCACTGGCATTCCTTTAACCATGCTAAGCTTTTCAGTATGTTAAACCACACAAAATCATTCAGTATTCTCTTTTTTAGAGGAAGTTTTAAAAGGCAGATCATGGTGAAGCTCAAGGAGCAGCACTAGCAAAGAAAAGCTTGGCTACACAGCAGGGAGGCTGGACGTTTTGATGGTAGCTTGACCATAGCACTGTGGCTGATTAATCTGAACAGTTGTCTTGACAGTGCATGAGCTTTCTCTAATCATAATGTACAAAGCTCTTTGTTACATACAAACTGTTAAATCCTCCAGCAAATAAAGACATTAGTACTGAGCTGGTTCCAGCAAGTGGTTATTGAAAAATTATTTGATCTGCTACAGTACTGCAAAGTTACCAGCTAATCATGTAATACAGGTAGGCAAAATAATGCATTTTTAATCTTATTCAAGAATCTCATCAAGGCAAGATACTCTATTACTTAAGTGAAAAGGAAATTGGAATTTAAAGTACTAAGTACAGTATGTAATAGAAAATTGTAGTGGGTTTCATGCAGAGCTTTTTTTCTGCTTCTCCACGTGAAAGTCATGTGATGCCATCTCGTAATAAGTTTGAGTACCATGGGAATGCACTGCTCCAAGAAAATTGCATAAATGTCTTTAGTTGGGCTTAATATGTAGTTTTACATGTCAGGATTAGTATAGATGGGAAGTGCAAGTACTTTATGTTGCCTAACCTTATCCTTTTTTATAAGTCTCCTATTACTTACAACATCTTTTGTCTTCCACCTATCTTCCTCTATTCTTTAGCAGACTTATAACAAAAGAATATATTTTCTTAATATGTATTCTGCCTGTTACTTTAATGAGGATTTAAATTTATCCACAATGATTTGCAGACATGTAATGGTACCAGATTATGTTAAATCTCTAAATTTGAACAGGGCCTTTTTGCTGTTGTTATTAAAATGATTAATCAGAAAATGCAGCAGTTTCCGGGTCTGCCTGCACAATGTATTATTGACTGCTGCTTCCTAGTCACTAAGTTGAAGGACTGTAAAGTAACTGGAATTGCTGTGGTTAGATGGACTCTCCAGATTGGTTCTTGCCCCTTCTTGTCCCAGTAGACCCTACCCAGTCACAAGACACTAATTGGAGGCCACAAATCCAAGACATCAGAATGAAAAATATAGAACGCGTTTGATCCCTATATGTGTAAATATTAGAATTCTCTTGGATAGTGCCATAGCTTCTTGCTTTTTTCCCCCTGCAGGCACTGCATTTCATGGAGTAGGTAGCAGCATTAATTTAACTGTGCAAACTCACAGAACACAAAATTATCTCTTCTTACTCTTAAGATTTGGGGTTTTTTGTGTGTGAATTTTCTCACTGTGAGTTTTTCAGAAAGTAAATCAATGTCTCTTCAGAGCAAATACATGACATGAAGTGGTGGTAATAAGCTGTCGTACAGTGTAAAAACCACAGATATTATTCGAAAATTGTCAAATGATGGCTTGTGTTGCTCATGTTCAAATATGTTGACGTGGTTTTTGAAAGCAATTGGTACTTATGGCACTTGAAATTCAGAGCACAGCTTTCACTTGACTGTGATGGAAGCTGTAGAATTAAAGCACTCTGGCTCCCTGTGAAGAGTTCAGTTTGGGTGGCTTGCCCTGAGCCACACTATGGAGTAGAGCTGGAATCCAGGATAGCAGAATGATTCTAGTTGGGAGATGACCTTTTTTCCCACTTGTTATCCCGTTACCTTTTGTTTCACATACTCCGCTATTTGCAGGTAAAGAAAGTAGAGAACCCGCAGCCTCAGTCCTGCCTTGTGCACCATCCTGTTCACGCTGTGAGAATCTGCTGCTAGCAAAGTGATTGTGGACAGGAATCCTTTGGAGGAGATATGTAAATGAAGGCTTCACAGTTCCTTCTGCTCCATAATAATATTCTGAGTATAAGGGGTCTGCAGTTACGATTTTGCAAGGATAAAATGAAAACAAAACTAGTGGCGTGGAAGTTTCATCGTGAAAAATTAAGTAGTGGTTGTTACATTGGTCATCGGTTGGACCTCTTGTGTGCTCTTGCACCTTGAAGGTTCCTGAATAACTACACTGTAGGAATAGGCTGTTGCCCCCTGTGGAAACCTGCTGTTAGAAACCATACATGGAATATGGCTGTGAGTTTTATAGGTGGCTTGTTATCAGTGTGTGAATACTGACACTGAGAGTTTCTGAGATTACTTCTGGTTTCTCTGATAAGTTCTGCTCTCCCAGTACAAAGCTCTGTGCACTGGCTTGTCCTCCTCTCCTGTCTGATCCTGTCCAACTCTCACCTCACTTGGCTTCTGCCTTCCAGCTCTTGTGTTTGTGTGTCAGCCATCTCCTGTGGCAACCTTAACTTGCCATCTCCTAACTGGTGTGCCTGAGCGCAGCCTGGTGTTTCGGTGATCTGATCTTGTGTGAACCATGCTATTCAGGGATGGGACCTCAAAGAACAGGATGTGCGCTTGCACACAAGTTTGGAAGTGATTGAAAGATTAATGCTTTGAGTTAATAAGCTGAATCACACTGTATCTGATCAGGATGAAATCATCCAAGAGAACAGTGGCAGATATAATTAGCTATGGCATGTTATTTTGAAACTCTGCAAGTGCAGTGTAGATGAGCCTCTTTAAATTGTCACTGATTAACATTTTTTGTTTTGCACTGAAATCTGAAGCATTTAATTGCTTTCCTTATGCTACTCTAAATGCTTTTGTGGAGAGGCTGCTCATCTGCACCACTTCATTTTAGTGCGCCTAGACCAGGCAATTGAAAGTTCTTAATGTATAGCTCCTAACTCTGTCGTGCTAAAAGATGAGAATTTTCTGAACTGCTGATGCAAAGGGGACAGTAATGGCCAAAATATTTCAACTGAGTGAACATTTTTATCCCCAGTGCTTGTCTGCTCTTGTTGCTGTTACTTAGAGTATAACAGCAAATAACCACTGTGTTTCTTTTTTGATAGATGCTACCAGACCTGAAGGCAGACAACCAGAGGCTAAAAGATGAAAATGGGGCCTTGATCAGAGTTATAAGCAAACTTTCCAAATAAAGGGCTTACTACAGCAGCAGATAACGGTATTGCACATCGTGAGTAACTCCAGTGGACCACAGTATGGCAGTCACTGGAAGTGTGGGAAGATCCCTTGGAGACTGTCATTTTCAGATATCCTGCCAAATGCCCTCTTACCTGTGTGTTTTTGTATCAAGATCATTGTTTCTGTTAAAATGCAGCTGCTGAGAAGAAAAATGACTGAGAAATCTTGTTTACAGCTACAGCATTATAAGGAAAGTGTTCAAGGCCAGATACGCCTCAGATATTTAACCAGTAAGCCTTAGTTGTACATAAACACTTTTACATCAACAAAAGCTTTCAGCTCTCACAGAAGACAGTTACTCAATAATGTTTTTGTTGTGCCACAACTCCCAGGTTTTTTTTTTTCTATACTCAGTTTTTCTTTAAATCGTAAGTTTGGATTTTTTTTCCCTTCTAATTATTCATGTACCAGATTTTCTTGTACAGTGTTTTCACAGCTTTACCATTTGCAGAGACCACACACCCTTTTAAATTACATATTCGTGTAGCTACCTAGAGTTGTATTGTCCAGCCACCTGGAACAGAGATGTTTGGTGGAACGTTTGCTTTCACTGTTTGTGCAATATGCATTTATTTCCTATACAGAATGCTTTAAAAGTCAGTTGAAACTAGAATTATTTTAAGAGTCCTGTTTTCTGCCTTCATCGGTCACTTAAAAAAAAAAAGTTTGTAGTGAAAGATGCTAGATCCTGTAATCGTCACATTCATTTGAGCAGGTACTGAGTGATGCTGTATATATAAATGTGTACTGGTTTGATTTTTCAGACCACCACGTGGCATGCTTGAATATATTTCCCTATTGCAAATGTCTGTTAATGCAAATTAGGCTACTCCAGAATAGTGTGTTTAACAAAGTTCATTAATTTTTATGGTATAAAGAATTTAGACATTGTACATTGTATGGAGCCCTATCTTTACAAAAGGTCTAAACTATATAAAATACTTTATTATCTTTTCTTCCCATTTGTTTTTTTTTTTTTTTATTTGATAGTGTTCACCATAATAAAAAATGCATAAATATAACTGCTTCACTACATTTCACATACCTGTATTTATCTGAGTGCTGTCCAAAACTGTTGTGCTAGCCAAAGTAATCTTACTAAATCATTTGAAAAACATAACCCGTTACACTCACATTAATGTTTATATGCACTGTTGCCATGTGAGAAGGCATCTAATTTGATAACACCATCGTGTCAGACCATTTTATACATTTCAGTGGCCTTTAAAAACAAAAAAAAGTACTTAAGTGAAGATTGCTTTTGTTAGAAACAGCTTTTATATTTCATTAAACCATTCGGAATACGACATCCTATGGGCACATAACTTCATTGCCTAAAACCACTGACCAGATCAGCCATTACAACCGATTGTACATTGTAAAGCTTGTAGTAGCTATTGTATTATTGATTATATTGTATACTACATTAAATGTGAATTTGTACCCCTTCATTTAAAAAGGTCATTGTGTTCTACTGCCTCCTGGGGGGTGGGCTTAGCTTTAGGGGGGTGGGATATGTTGGGGAAGGAAGACGCGATGTCCTCTCTCCGCTGGTTTTTTGAAGATGTAAGGTTATGCTCTCACTACCAAGCTCAGGATTCTTGATTTTAAAGGTACACGGATGGTCTGAGATACCTGATAGTAATCGATCTGTGTGAGAGGTGGGGCTGAACCGTAGGGAACTTCCACTGTCATATGCTAACATAAAATAAGCGGAGAACTGAACGGTTTGAATGGCTGCAGCGTACTGAGTTCTGTTACAAGACAGTTAGGCATATTCTCGATTATATTTGGTAAAGTTTGGGTGCCTGTGAATGATTAAATACGTGTTTCTAATATTTTAGTGTTTTATATTTAGGTTATTTATTCTTTATATCTTAAAAAAGATGAATGGCTACTGTGCTATATTGATTTTATTGGTAGTACTGAGCAGACCTTGTATCTGCATGAAACTAGTTGCAAAACCCACTATTTTGGAAAAAAAAAAAAAAAAAAAAGAAGAAGTATTTTGACATATACAAATAAAATGAATACAAACTATTTTAAATGTGTGAAAGTTTTACTGAGAAGACACTGAGATTTGTTACGAACTTAAGCGATGTTGTAAGTTTGCTGTTGAAATTCTTCGGTGGGCATTTTTCATTCATTGCGTCATTGGGATGCCAAATTCGAGTACCTTTCAAAGATTGTAATCAAATGGTGATTATTTGCACATCGTTGTACATGCACATCTGTAAATGCTACAGTAAAAATGCCATATTTATGCAATCTGTAACAACTTGGACAAATGTTTATATATTTTACATAAACCTGTCTGTGTGCAGAATCTGAGAACCATTTTTTATGTGATGTTATCACAAGCTCACGGAGCGATTGCTAACCACGTGTCACGACTGCACTGTACCCATTGCGTTGCAGACCAAATGCAGCGCAGGAAAATCACACTGGTGCACAGAGAGCGTAGTGACAGGAGCCTGCTCTGTGATTGAGGGACAGTTGGTATGTGAGAAATACATTATTGCCAGCTGTTGACTCCAACAAGCCTACTGAAGTGACCAATAGCTGAAATGGTCATTCAAAACAGCAGCTTAGATCCTCGGAGGACCTCTCCCAGTGTGGAAAGGGGGGGATATTTGCATGCCATAGGTTAACACCAAATACAGATGGAAGCATGGACAGAGCTGAAGGAAGAGGCAATGGGAATGCATAGAACCACCCATTAGTGAAGCTGTAGCCCCCAGAGGAGGAGTGAGCATGTGTGGGAAAGCAGCACCAGGTGCAGGGAGGATGGAGGGACTGGGTCTGTATGGACCATGGCACTTAATGGTTCCAAATGCTAAAAATAATTTCCCAAAATAAGGGGCTCTGCAGATTAAGCCACTGTTTTTTCCCACCCCAGCTCCCTCGTGATCTATTTCCTCTGCACGTTCCCTGTTCCTAGTTGTGCACTGCGCTCAGACTTCTGCCAAGTTTGAATGAGGAAGGAAGGACCTTTCCCTGTAGATTGGTGCATGTTTTGTTAAGTGCCAAATACAAAACACGAACGCCCCGGTGTTACTCTCCATGCTAACCTTTGGTTTGTTAATGCTCAGGTGAGCACGAACACTGGCTGTTTATCTGTGCAGCACTCCCAGCCACTGTTCATGGGGTGATCTTCTGAAGGTATCCTGTCTTCAAGTTCTGGTGCTTTCGTTATGCAGCTGATAACGTGTTTTATAGGTGAAATTTAACTTGCAGCTACAATCCCGAAGGCTTCGCAGCAAAACAAGAGAGAAATTCACTGCATAACCAACAGTTCATAAAAGAAAAACTGCGCAGCTATAAAAGCTTTACATAATTCATTATGGAATCTTTTTTAAAAAAAGGGAATGGAGGAAGGACTGTAGACGATGTAGATGGTTGTGTCCTCACAGTTTATGGGCACACTGTTAACGTTTAATTGTGGTGATTTAGCTTCCTTAGGTTCTTAGGTCAAAGCCACAAGTAGCAAGGGGCAGAAATGGTGGTGACAGAGGTACGTGCTTTACCTTTGTCCTGGGTGCAAGAGCAGCAGCTGGGGTTTGCTACAGTCACAGCAAGGATTTACCCAACAGCCCGGTCAGAAGGTGGCTGCGTGAAAGGCAGAATTAAAGCAAACAAAAAAATACCTTCATAAACCCACACCGAAGGGAGAGTTGCTGCCACACTGCTGAAGTCATCGGCTGTTCCTGCTTTTGTCAGCACCTCCCCATTCTGTGTTACTGATTAGATAGGGAAAGTATGTAGTCGTTGGAGAAAGGAGGAACTGTTCGTTCTTCATGTGAAAGCATCACCTGTTGGATGTCTAATGTTTCAGATCTGCTCTGGGATAAAAAGCCCCACATTCCAGCTAATTATTTCACCCTTCTCGCTTGGGTTTCGCAAACCCGCTGAAGCTGAGCACAGCGGTTAGCCAGGGCAGCACAGCTCCTCTCCCAGTGTGGTCTTTTCCCTTTGTTATGTGCGCCAGACGAAGAACCAGGGGGGTGGGTGAGAAGAGCCGTGGGTGCCGCCTTCGGGCGCTCCACCCGGCCTTCCGAGCAGGGGGGCGGAGGCTGAGCTCAGAGCGGGGGGCTGCCGGGCCTGCGGGGCTCTGCCATGCGGTGTGACCTTCCGGCAGGAAGCGGGGCATCCAGGCCCCGGTCAGTGCCACGTGTGAGGCGGTGCGATGGTTCTTCTCGCCCGCAGGAGGGGCGGCCGGGTGCGGAGCTGCTGCGTTCCGGCTGAACCCGAGCTGCCGCTTTAAAAGGGCTTCCCAAGTCTGGGATGAAACGCGCAGCTGGGTAAAACGTATGAACGATACGCAGCCCGCTCGGTGCAACCACGAGATTTAACAAAACGTGAATTTGGTAAAAACAACCGAAAAATCAAGCGCTGGAACCTTCCGCTTTGCACCGCCTGCTCCTACCGCAGGCGCGGTTCCCCAGCCGCCATCCAGTCACCCATCGCCTTCGGCCGCCAGGCCCTGAGCTGCTCCCGGGACACGAGGCGGCCGCCAAGCGGCGCCAGAGCTCCTGCAGCGGCTGCTGAGCCGCGCTGCCCGGCCGCGTGCCGCTGTGGGGCCGCCGCAGCGCCGGTGCTGGGTGAGGCGCGGAGCGCGGCCAGCAGCGGAAATCTCTCCATATTCTCTCGGCCTTCTCCCCCCAGCTCTGCCCCCGTTCCCCGGCACCGCAGGCACCACGCGGAACAGGGCTCCTGGGCCCGGCTGCGTTCCCTGCAGCCCGGATCCGAGCGGCCGCTTCCCCGGAGACCCGAAGCACTCGAATCTCCGCAGTTTCTGGGGAGCGGCACTCGCACGCCGCTCAGAATCCCTTCGTACTTTCCGACAAGACCCCGCAAGCGCGCTGACGCGCCGCAGCCCCGCAGTGCACGGCCTGCTCCGCCCGCTGCCCCCCGCGGCTGTCCGCCTTCCCCGCGCTTCCCGGATCCCGGCTCCTCCCGAGGCCCCTTCCGATTCTGTCACCGTGTGACCCCCATCTCGTCCACCCCAGCACTTCTCGGTGCTCCCGGTTCCCGCCGCCTATTTCTGCCCGTCAGCCCGTCTCCCTTCCCTCCCTCTTCTCCCTTGCATTTTCGGCCCGTTTGCTGCTCCCCTGCTGGCTGTATCCGCACAGCTGACAGTCGGCTCGACGGCCGGACCTCGCCACCCCGCAGCGCTCCCTGCCCTCTCCCGCGCCCTGCTGCCTGCCTCCCCTCCCCGTGTTCTCGCATCTCGGCAGCGCACAGCCCTAATGGCTTGGGAGATGCCATTAATCTTTCCCTGACCGCAGGATCTTTTTTTCCCCTGATAATCTAATCTTTACTCAGGAGGAATGTCTCCACCAAGCCAATTAGTTCCCACCTACTCTAGTTTCTCTCTAACCCAAGGGAGTGCTTCTGCCATAAGCTAAGCGCTCTGCGACTCACCTGTTCCCTTTCCATGCAGCTATTCCTCTCCTCGGGAATCAGCACTATTTTTCATAGGTGCGTTTTTCCTCCACACCTCTGCATAGGTGAAGGTGAAAGCAGTTACAGGTCTTACACTTCCGCTGATCTGAATCCATCGGGGTGTTTGCAGGATAACAACCACTCACTGTTTCTTGTTTAGTTTCCTTTCACCTGTCTTTGAGCAAACACATGGGGATGCCAGTAGGCTACTTGGGGCCAGTGGTATTGACAAATCCCTGGCTGTGGATTTGCTTGTGCTCAGCACAGGGTATGCAGCCTGTCCCCATGTCGAGGCCCTTTTAAACTTGTGCCCACTCTGAAACAGCTACAGTGTAGGCACACTGAGTTGTTGGATTTGTTAGGATTGTTCACAGAAGCATTCAGCCCCACGCCTTCACTGCAGCTGTTGATAGCGTTTATCACTGAAAGAAGTCCCGTTATATATCATACCAGCATCGTGCTAACAATAGGAAGTATATTTAGTTTTGGATATTCTTTAAGCTGTTCTCTCCCTTTGTATTTTGTTTGCTTTCTCAGCAAGACTCTAAGCTCTCCTAGTCGCTCCCCCGCCACTGCTTACACTCACTGATACGCCACAGCCTCTGACTGATTGCTGTTTGTGTTTGTTTTGGACACTTCCAGATGATTGCTACTAATAACCAGCACTGAATTCCTGAAATATCTGCCCCATTCCTTCTACAAGGCAATTTCTTTATGGTCCATCATATGAAAAACACCAGGTCCTAGAAATACTGCGGGGCAGGAGAAGAATAACCTCCAAATGAATGGCTAGCTCAAACAAAGCGTTGTAAAAAGCCATCACACTGCATTCTGCATGCATCATCTACCGCATTTCAGCACGGGCCAAGCTCCTTAGTCAGCTCTCTGAGGGGAGCTAGCAGCAGCATGCTGCTGTCCCGCTGGGCTTTGGCTGTGTGCCGATGGCAGCAGGGCCGTGGCAGGGAGCAGCACAGCAGGTCCATCATGGGGTGCACAGGACAGCCCAGAGGCCTCGGTGGTTCTGAACTGGTCCTTCCAAGAATCAAAGCGACTCTTAAGAGCTTCAGGGCTGGTCATCAACAGCAAACAACCAAAAGCTTGGAAGGTTTATGAAGTGTAACTAGAGCCGACAAGACGCAGACAGATAGCAACTTGGAATTGGTTTCTAGCTATTTCTATGCTTCAGTTTGGAGATAAAGATGAGAACTGGATTGTCTTTACGGTGCAGAGGATGCTGTCTTTCAGAGGAGAGAGCAGGCTCTGCTGGAGCTGATAGTTCCTTCAGCTCTGGTAAAAGCTTCTTGGTGTACAAAGAGCTTTATATTAAGCACTAATGGAGGTCATTAGATGTCGCCATCCAATCTGGAAGCTTATCATAAACACAGAAAGTAACAAAGGTGGTGTTACTCAGATAACTTAAGGTTATCTCAACCGTAACGTAAACCTATGATATTACTTTTGTCATACGGAGGGGTACAGCCAGCCCTTCGCTACCAGATACCATAGGTGGCACAACAGCTGTGTGACCTGGCAGCTCCCCCTTACCTCAGCCGGTGGCGGCCCAGCTGACTCTCAGGCCGGCTGGAGCACAGCGTGACACAAACAGCACAGAAAACATCCGGTGCTGGCTTACATCCAGAAGGTGAAATGGTCTCTGTCACACAACGGGACGCAGAAACACGTCTGTTTGAAAGCAGTTCATTCCCCAAAGGGCAAACGTAGGGGCTGGACTAGTGAGCCAGCAAGGAGTAACTCCATCGCCTCCACCGTCTACTCGAGTATGTCTAGGTGGTACGTTATCTTAGAACTTGTTTCCTAATGGCAGTTGCTTTTGTTGTCATTTGACTATGTTGAATTTCACGTGCTGCTTTGTCAGCGCCACCCAGTCTGGCAATGTTATCTTTCACTTTATCAATTTGTTCTTTTTCTTTTCAGTACTTCACAGAATAGCTCAAGTTGGAAGGGACCCACAAGGACCACCAAGTCCAACCCCTGGCTTCTGCCCAAAATCAAACCCTATGTCTGAGAGAGTTGTCCAGACTGTCCCTGAATTCCAGCATTGGGCCCGTGCCCACTGCCCTGTGCAGCCCGTTCCATGCCCACCGCCCTCTGGTGCAGACCCTGTCCCCAAACCCCAGCTGCCCTCCCCTGACAGCTCCATGCTGTTCCCTTGGGCCCTGTTGCTGTCACACAGAGCAGAGCTCAGCACTGGGCTGAACCAACCCTGGGACCTCAGATGCTTCTCACACTTTTTGCCTTCCAGCCTCTCTCCATCTTCCTAGCCCTGCTGTAGACATTTTCCAGTAGTTTTATGTCCTTCTGATATTGTGGCACCCGAACTGCACACAGTGAGCAGGTGAGGCCACACAGCGCAGAGTGGAGCAGGGCAATCCCTCTCCTCACCCAGCTGCAAAGCATTCTGACATAAGAACCTCCCTGGGTTCCTTCACAGGGAGCACAGAGGTGGGACCACAATGGACCAGTTGTCTTCTCATTGTGTTTCTTTTGTACCGTGCTCCTATCCTGGCCCTACTGATGTGCTATCAGGGAACTTTTTTCCATGCTCTTTGCAAACTGGCTCTTGAGCATACTTCTAGTTTGCCACAGAGCCTTTACCTTTTTCACCCTTCCCATCTAAATGCTGACATCTTTGCTTTTTCTCAGCTTTCTCGTACTTCACTGCATAACGCTTTGACTCCATGCCTGTTTTTCATCCTGCTTTTCAGCACATCACTCTTGGGTATCCTCACCCCATTCACTGCTCAAATCTGGCCCTAGACAGTACCTTTTTGGTCAGTAAAAAAGAGGTAGCGTGGTTCCTCAATAAACTGCTTCAAAGCTCTGCTGACTGAACTCTATCACAAACAGTGAGGAGCTGTAAGATAAGCAGAGTCATAAGGTCTCCTTTCCTGTAAGGCAGGAAAAGCACACGGTACAGAACTTGAGAAGCAGCAACAAAATGTCTTACAGAGTGAGATTGTGAACTGTGGCAGAAAATGTTCTTTCCCAATATGCCTTTGAAGTCATCTCTACTGTCATTCTTATCCACAACTGCAAACTGGAGGTAGATGGCAATCTCTGCATTAATTTCTCATAGTGTGTATTGAAAAATAAAGCTAACTTCCTTCTGTAAGTTTTTATTTTCCTTTCCGTACTGCATACCTCCATCAGTTTGATTAACAAACTTGGCTGCAAGAGACAATACCACATAGTTTGTAGAAACTGTTTGTTTATTTATGGTCAAATGATAGCAGAGTTCAAGAAGAGTAGAAACACAGACAGAAACCAGACTAGAAGGTGTGCCCCTAGGACTGATCTCCAACGCTAACACCTGCTGATAAATCTAGCTATTACACAAAGCTCTGTTATTATCACTTGCAATATTTCAAATCAGGACCTAGCACCTAAAAATGTTTTAAGCGATTCAGTAACACAGCAAATAGTATAAAGTTGATATTTCAGCAGAGGAGACATTGTCAGATTTGTACGAGTTTTCAGACAGAAGCCAGACCAAAGTGCCACAGCTGACCCACTGACCACAGTGACTCGAAAGAACACCGTTAGCTGTCAGCACATTACAGAGGTGAACCTTGCCAGAAGGTTAGCACTGTAGCACTAAGATCCATGGAGGAGAAAATAAGAATAATTGAATTAAATCCTGGAAGAAAAGTTTGGGAAATGAAAATCCACGATGATAGGGTAAGCCTCTCAGATTTAGATAGCATGCACAGCTCAGAAGTAACAGAAAGTGGTATTAAATTGCAAGGGATAGCAGTTCATCCCCATTCAGACAAAAATGCAAAAGCAACTAGAAACCAGAGATCAGACAGAACATCTCTGCGTTATCCTCCACAGTTTCACTCCTCCATTGGGATCTGCTACAAATGAATCTTCTCTAGGCAGAGGGAAGAAGCCAAGACTTACAGAGCAGCACCCACGCTTTTAACTCTTTTAACAGTCTCTGTCAGGGATGTCCTCTTCTGTTAGGGACATAACTGGGAATAACGAGAATAACTGGGAAGACACTCATGTATTTGCAAAGCAGACTTCAGTAGGTTTGCTCCTCCTAAGGATGCTGTCTAAGGCAGTGTGAGTGAATCTGAGACAGGAAAGAGAGCATTGCTGCCAGATGATGTGCAAGAAGAGGTTAAAAGGAAGAGTCAAGAGGGACAGCAGTGCTACGGTGGAGGATTATGTTACTTTTACAAGGAGATTTGACTTCAGAAATGTCTTGGAGCATAGGTGGGATTTTACAGAAAGATTAGAGAGGAGTTGCAAGTAAGTGGTTTAATGGGAAAGGTTTAAAGAGAAGGCTCTTGAAATTCGATGGATAAAAAGTAAAGCAGGTATTTCTGAAAAGGTTGTGGTGAGATTTCACGGGATTATAGTAATTTTAAGCAATGGAATCTGTGGACGCACATGAACAAGTCGGTAGGTGGTGAGCTGGTGTACCGAGTGGTGTGCGTGAGGATTATCCAGCACATGAAATGCAAAGCAGCAGAGAGGTTTAATGGCACTGCACAGGAGTGAGATGAATAAATTTTGCAAGAGTGATAGAGCAGGTAGAGCAAGCATGGGACTGAGAAAATTTGCACTGGGAGAAGAAAGATGAAGAATGTTGGCTTCCAAGGGAGGGGAGGTGGAAAGCACCAGGCAGTGCTCCGAGTGGGAGTTTCAGGGAAGCTCAGGTGCAACAGACACAGCTGGGGTGAAGTCAGCTGCTGTGACAGTGTAATTGCTGAAATGCACAGCCCAGCCCTCACTGTGCTCACATCCACTGCTTGGGCTCCATGAACATTCAGCAAGAATCCATGAATGTCAGTGGGTGCCATTTTTTCTGCCTGGATCAATTCCATGACACATCTTTGCTTCATACGCACTTCCATGTCAGATGCTATTCTATCAGACTGCCCCTCTGCTGCCACCTGTCACATGGCAACAAAATACAATGGAACACTGGTAGGAAGGTTCAACCTCTACTGCCATACCACCAGTATCTGCCTCCAATGTCATGGGCCAGCATAATAAAACAGGAGGCATTACTTCTGGGGCAGCGCTTGTACATTACTGCATTCACTATTTTATTTTCCAGCCTTTGAAAAGTTCCACTTCATAAAAGATCGTGGCTGCAGTAAAGTTGTATGCAGAACCTCAATAAGATTAATTGGTTGAATCTACAACAAGAACCACAACAAGCTGAAGCATCTTGCAGCCTTCTCCAAAGGGACCAGCTTTAACGCGCCCAATCCTAAAATGAACTTCATTTCCTCAAGATTTTAGGAATAAATGCTGTTTTCTATTCTAAATTGAAAAGATGAAATGTTTGCACTCTGCCTGGCAAAGGAGACCACGATCATCCTACCACGTCCTGGTGGTAATTTTACCTCAAGGGGAAAATCTCATTCCATAATAATGAACAGACAAAAACCAATATTTTAAGGCTTAGGGACCCCAGTCGCTATGCCAGCCTAAAACGTAGCTAATAACGTCAGCTGTATCTCTGGGCCTTAAGAATATCCCCGAGATAGTTTCAGGTAAGAAAAGAGAAAACTGCAGCTCTAAAAACTGTTTGCAGCGCACTCAGCTGTTCTCAGTTGTGGCTGAGGAAAACATGCAGTGCAATACTTCAACTATTTGGGACTTTATCCCTGAAAGCTCTCCAGCACAGACAGCTTATTGAGATGCAAACATCTGACAGTCAGCGTTTTCGTTTTCGCATTGGGCACTCGGCTCCTGCCCCGCTCACCGCAACATAACTCTTCTG